AGACATCCGGGGCTGTTCTGAGTTCCTCCTGCTTGTGTCAATAATAGTGTCCTTGTGTGTCAGATGGACACACAGAATTCCTTGGATTCTACCATGCCATGGTTCAGGAGATGTCTTGGGCATAATAGGTGAGATTAGGTTTTCCACTCATGGTGACATCAGGGTGACGTTGATCAGTTTGTTCACTTTACATTTCCTGAGTTTGTGACAACACAAGCATCTGGCCTGGGTGTGACTGTGATGTTGCCCTCAGTGACTGGTGTGTGGCACAGTGTCCACAGTGTCCTGTGTCCCAACATGTGCAGGAGCAGCTGCTGGTCTGTGATGTGGCATCAGTTTGTGGTTGGGCAGTCTCCCAACGTGACCCTGTGTGTACCCCTTCTTCCTTCACTGCATGGTGGTGTGCACAACGGTCTCCTTTGCTCAGGGTTGACGTTCGTGGTCATTGCGTGTTTGTGACACGTTGTGGACAGGTGCCGTGTCAGCCTTGTGCTGCCTGCATGCTGGGTGATGAGGTGTGGCGTCTCCTGCCCCCGAGCACTCCAGGCCCGGGGGTCAGCGTGTGCCGCTGCTTGCCCATCAGGCTGTCGGGGGGAGAGGACCCTGCCTTGTGTTCTTTCTGACTTCTTGCTCAGCACCTTCTATGGTGCTGTGTCTGGGCCTGGTGTTGGACCCTTGGTGCTCACAGTACCTGAGAGTGTGAGCCAGTCTCTGTGTCGCCACCTTTGGTTCAGTGGCAGCTGAATTGTTCTTGGCATTTGTGTCCATCGTCCTGTTTTTGGAGCAGCAGTTTGCTGGGTTGAAGTGGACGATACAGCCACTGTCCATGCTTTTGGCTGCTGGAAAGCAGTCAGCCATGGTTGAAAATAAATAGGTTTGTCTTAGGTCCCTGAATTGTTGCTTCTTCTGACCCTGAAGTTGCTAAATTTGCTACTGTTCCCAGTGCTGCACACAGCGGCAGGGTTTCCTTGAATGTGTTCCTCAGTGTGTGGAAGTGCAGGCTGGTCACATGGATGGCTGTTGTTTCCTATAGACGTTGAACAAAGTTGTTTCTTCAGTGTGACGAAATCACTTCCTGGATTCTAATCCCCTCTTGTTGGTGTTGGTCTGTGGATTATCTCATCGGGGCGTGATTATGTTGGTGCTGCCTTGGTGCAGGTGGTGTCTGTGGTTCCTGTATGCTGCTCTCACACAGCTGTGTGTGTCATTCCACACCCCCACACACGCATGAGTCATCCGGCACCTCACACATGCATGGAATCCCAGCACCCCCACACACTCACATGTCAGCCCAGTACCCCTTGCACATTCACGTGTTGCCCCGGCACCCCCCCCCCCGCACACGCACGTGTCATTCTGGTGTCCCCTGCACACTCACATGTCAACGCGGTGCCCCACACATGTGCCTGTCATCCCGACACCCCCTGTACATACAGGTGTCACCCAGTTGCCCCTGCATCCACGGGGGTTATCCCGGCATTCTGTCATGCATCAGGGTCGTGGGGAGGTGTAGTCATGCAGCGAGGTTGATGGGGGACGTCTTCGGCTACATGTGGGTGTTCATGGTGTTAGGCTGCGATGCACTGGGTGTTGTGCTGAAAAGTGTGTTCTTCTAGGGTCCTTGTACAGGGGAAATCATGTCATGATAATAACCTATGAGTTTGGGGCCAATCTGGGCTGTGTCTGCCCCCTCAGAAGCCTTTCCTCTGCAATGCTATCCTGTGAGCCTTTGGAAATGTGAATTTATGTCTTCCTGCATGGGTCTGGACAATGTGCCCATGGCAAGGGGTTTATGTGATGCTTTGTCTTGTTTTCTTAGGTGCCTAATATGTCTTTAAATGTGTTCTGCCTTCAATTTTGTTGTGTGTTGTTAATTAGGTATCTCTTAAATGTGGGCGAATGTGGCCCTGTGGCCAGTGGTGAACTAGCAAGTAGCCCATCATAATCTGGATGTAATTCTTCACTTGTCAAGTGCAGCCCCACAGGTGTAAAGAAACTGCCTGCCCCACTTTCTGTTCGTCTGTCTTAATGGGTCCATTGCACCACGGAGTGAAACGCAGGGCGCGGGACTCCCTCAAGGCTTTGACCGCTGCCTTGAGAGTTCTCCCGAGTCCAGGGTGGTCATGGAACCCAGGGTGGTTGGTCCTGTGAACCTGGTGCTGTCTCGTGGCAGCTGAGTCCATAGTCACAGGTCTATCCACGGTTTCCTCCCAGTGCACGTGTTCTAGATGCATGAGGGCGTGTTGCTGTGTGGTGTGAGGCTCAGCTTGGCTTCTCTTAGTGCAGTGTGTTACGTTGTAATGAGTGTGAGTGCAGGAGGGTCCTAAGTCTGTGTGTGGAGAGGCTGGCTTCTGCCAGGAAATCCTGAGTTCTTGTTTTTGTAGAAATTTTTGACTTGCATCTTTTCTTCTGCATGTTTGTCAGAGTGCTTAGGAGTTGCTGCCCTCCTGTGAAACATGTGCTCCCTCTTGTTCACCTGTCCATCATGGGTTTTGCAAAAGAACAGAAGCAGAAGAAATGCTGGCACTTAGCAGCCTGGGCAGAGGCGTGGCTCGGCTGTGGAGGCCCTTCCTTCTTAGTGCTGTCCTGTGGGCCTTGGGGAATGTCCAGTGGGCCACCAGACATTCATCTTCAGTTCTGCAAGCCGGACTCTGCCGGGACTGGCTCTCTACAGTTCACACTGGGGTTGGGCTGCCTTTAAGCAAATTGTGACAGAAAAAGTTGGATCTCCTTCCCCTACTTCTGGCTTATATAGCTCATAATTGCATCATTTTCTTTCTAAAGTCTCTCAGGGACTTGATCAGCCTTTGAACTCTTGGAAAAAAAACAGTAAGGAAAGCCCACTTGGTGAGGGTAAAAGCAGGCTGCAGGATTCCCGTGCCTGGCTGAGCCTGGAGAGCACAGGCCGCAGCTCTGGAGTCCCCAGCTGTCCCACCCCGTGCACCATCCCCACTGCCCACTGCCCTTGTTCTCCACCAAGAGCCCACGGTTCCCAGTCTGTTTTCTGTGCCTCCATCTTCTCCCCTCTCACCAGGTCATGTCTTACTGTCCCCAGCTAAGAGGACAGACATTTGTCACGTTACGCCTTTCTTTCTAAACCGTGTTAAGTGGTGCCTTACAGTTCACACATAACAGTGGGTTCATTGCACCTCATGTCTTTCTGTATAAACGCGCAGAGTACAACAAACATGTGCATGTGGAGCAAGTTCCTGACACGTCTAAGAATCTACTCTGCCCCTCCACTTTAAACTGGTAGGTCACATCTAAGTCTCTGAGAGGTAGCTTCTGTCTTCAAGATCCGTTTTAGGATAGTGTTTTATGGTGACTGTCAGGTTAGCTTTGGGGACCTCACGTCCGTCTCACACTTACCCAGCTGTGGCCCTCCGGATAAAGGTCAAGACACTCTGTCTCAGGAGTGTGGCTCTGGGGGACACTCGTCTAGCATGCTGAGGCACTGGATCCACACCCATACCACAAGCACATGCACACATGTACACACTCACATGCACACATACGTGCACGCTACACACACATGCACATTTGCAAGTGAGTGGCTGCAGGGAGGACAGGACACTCTGCTGTCCCAGCCATCCATGCTGGGGCAGGGCTGCGTCCTGCACAGCTTCCTTCTTTGATCTCCTTTACTTTCCATCCTCCCGTGGAGCACCAGAGCCGTGGAACTGGGTGGGTTGGAAGAGACGCACTCCATCTGGGCACCTTGGAACATGACTTAATCCCAGTGGCTTGGGAGGCTGAGGCAGGAGGATCTCAAGTTCAAAGCCAGCTTTAGCAACTTAGTGAGGCCCTGTCTCAGATTTTTAAAAATAAATAAATAAGAGGGCTGGGGATGTTGCTCAGTGGTTAAGCACCCCTGGATTCTATCCCTGGTACCAAAAAAAGAATTAAAAAATAAAAAGAAGAGAGGCATTTGGAAGGAAACCCCGTCCTGCTGCCTCCTGCAGGGAGCAGGGAACGGTGCTGAGGCTTGGGCAGTTCTGCATGCATCTCGGTCCCTCCTCTGGTTCGTTTGTGTGCTGCACTAGGCCTGTGTGTGTTCATTCACTCACTCTGCAGCCTCACGACTCCTCTGCACCCTCAGCCGGGGACCAGTTTTCACATGGAACGTGCAAATCGAAAGCGGATCTCGGTTTTCTAAGGCTTTAGTAGAAAAGGGCCTGAGGACCCGCAGCCTGCCTCCTGCTCTCCAGGTCTCCACTGAAGCGCAGCCTGGTTTATCTTTCATCTTCACGAATATCTAGTTGACATGCCAAGACCTGCCCGTCTCAAGCTTTTCTCAAGACCCTGCTGTGAGGCGATCTGTAGGGTGACAAGGTCCTGGTTTCACTCGAGGGGACAGAGGTGAGAGGCCAGTTGACCTGGGAGCTGCGCTTGTTCCTGCACCGCACTTCCTGCCCCCGGTTTGCGGGGAAGCAGGCGGCATGTGCTCGCGGTTCTGGCAGAGCACCACCAGCCGCGGAGAGTGTGCCAGCCTCAGGGCCTGTCATCAGTGACCACTAAGGCCGAGGTGTCCCAGCATGAGAAAGGCACGGGCTTGACTACCGCTTCAGGTGGCTGAACAGCCAGCTGCCCTGCGGCACCAGTGCTTTCAAAACCAGGGCCAGTTCGCCTTCTCATCCGAAGTCACACAGAGGCAGCGCAATGCGTGGTGCGGTGTGCAGGACATTCTAGAGAGAGCACGATGGTGTCATCAGCACCACGACACTGTCGGTCTCCACGCTACCGGTGTGTGTGTGTGTGTGCGTGCACGGACACAATGGGCTTATAAACAAGAGGTCCTGAGCTCATCAATGAGATTTAAATTGATTTTCCTTGGGTATTTCTTTGAATTCCAGTGTTATCAAGTGAGGCTTCTTTACTGTCCTAGCAAAGGCTCAGTGTCCAAGAGCCCCGTGGTGGGTGCTATTGAAGACTTTTAGGCTGATGATCGGGCCGAGAAGCCCCTGCACCTGTGGCCTCATTTTGCCTTCCTCTTCTGCTAGACACCCCTGTACCTGGTGGACCATGGAGAGAGCGGGCCAGTCAGGTGCAACAGGTGCAAGGCCTACATGTGTCCGTTCATGCAGTTCATCGAGGGCGGCAGGAGGTACCAGTGTGGGTTCTGCAGCTGTGTGAATGAAGGTAAGCGGCAGTGGAGTGCTCTTTGGGGAAGCCCTCCTTTAAACCCACAGGGCGTTCTGCTGCCTGGTTGGGAGACTGCAGCTGGTTTCCGCATCGCAGTGACCTCTCGGGATTCCCCTGGAAACTTGGTGTCTGGGACATCCACGTCCCTCTCAGCTTTAGGTGGCTGCTTGAGCCCTCGTGGAAGTTATGAACTCAAGGTGGGGCGGCTTTATCCCAGTCCCCCCACCGAGCTCCGGCTGGAGGCAGATGAGGTCCCACCCGTGCTCCGGGTGACATTCAGGGGACCTCTCTCTTGTCTTGAGTGAGCTTGCTGGCTTAGGAAGAGCTCAGGAATGGGAGGGTCTGACGCTGTGGATGTGCTCCCTCGGGGAGAGGCCTGTGCTTGTTCGTGGGGGAACATCAGGAAGCACCTGCCGCAGTCATCCTGTTTCCAGTTTCAGTCGGGGATGTGAGACAGCTGTGCGGAGTGTGCCTACACTGCCTGCGCTGAGCGTGTCTGGCTGGCAGCATTCCCGCATTGGTCCCAGCTCGTTTTTGATGATGTGGTGATTACTGGCGTGGGGGTCCTCTCTGGGCTCCACTGCTCCTACCACTGTGGACACACCACCCCTGGGATTGGACCCAAGGATGAGTGGCCCTGGTCTGCCTGGATGTCCCCCTCAGCGTGGGCACTCTGAGGGCTGCTGAGCTCCGTTTTCTGCCTTTGTGGCCAGGGTCTTGCTTCTTGGAGTCTAGAATTCTCTGTGGGGGAGCTCCACTGGTCCTATGTCCCTCCACAGTCACACGAAGTCCCTGACCTTGTCCAACGGAGAGGCCAGAGACTGGCCTTGAAAGTCTTTCCCCTAAGACCCGTGGTCAGTTCTTGAAACTGTCCCACTGCGAAGCTGAGTGGCTGGTCTGCCTCATGGGGAGGACATGACAGGGCCTTCTGGCCCCTCTGCCCGCTGCACATCTGCTTGGTGCCACGTGTCCTGGAAGACCAGGGTCCAGAGGTCTCCAGCCTTGCACTCCTTCAAGGAAGATCTCCTTCCAGCGCTCAGCCTGGATGAAATTGGCTGCCAGGTCCTTGGCCATGCTGTCTTGGTCTTGGATTTCAGGAGCCTTTTGTACTTTAGTTTGGAGGAAGTCCTGAGAAGTCCAAGGCCTTCTGCGCCCTTGGCTGAGGTTCTGCTCCAAGCTCTGGCACCGCAGTGCCTTCACACAGCCCTGGCCTCCCTGGAAGGTAGTCATAAATGTCTCCAGCACACAGAACCTTGGGGTCTTCACTGGGCGGCCCCTCCCTGCCTCGCTTCTAGTGTTAGTTCAGGGCCCTCAGCGGCCTAGCACCTTTTGGTGGGAAAAGCCCCTGAGAATCCTGTCTCTCCATGCACAGGTGCCACCCGGCACCCCTCCTGGGAGACTCCCTACCATCTTCCAGTGGTGTTATTCCTACTAGGCTCAACTCTGTGGCCCTGTGGGGAAGTTGGGCTCCCTTGGATTTGTGCTAACCCCTCATTCCTCATTTAGGGCTAAGGCAGAGGCTTGCTGGACGGGATGCCCTGCGTGCTCCCCAGCAGGATGACCAGGGAGACGGATGTTAGGAGGCACGTGGGAGGACTGGCCATAGAGTAGTGCGTGATTAGTGATGTGACTTGAGCTTTGGTCTACTAAAGGGTTAGATAATATGAAATGCTGCTGATACAAAATTATATTTTTTTGAGGTACCAGGGATTGGACCCAGGGTCTCATGCATGCCAGGCAGGTGCTTACCACGACCTCTAGCCCCAGCTCTTTTTATTTTATTTTGAGGCAGGATCTCACTAAGGTGCTGAGGCTTCCTTCAACATGCCATCCTCCTGCCTCAGCCTCTGGAGCAGCTGGGATTACAGGCATGTGCTACCATGCCTGGCCAAAATTAACTGTAAAAAAAAAATTCACACGACATATACATGGTGAAGGTGAATGAATCTCCTGCTGGGCTGGAATAACTGTCCCACACTTCCCAAGCCAGCCAGTCATCGGGTCTTGCCTGTCACCCACATGTAACCAACAGTAGTTCACAGCTGTCCTAACTCACCTACAGTGTCCACTCCTATAATATTGATAAGGCATTGGATTTTCCAGATTCAGAGATCCACATGTAAATATGAATTGTATAAAGCTTATTTTTAAAAGAAATGACCATGATATGGTAAGCATAGAAAAATGCTTCCGATGGTTTCTTGATAAGTCCAACCTTGGAAAACAGCCCTGTGGTGGTTCACAAGTCAGTTTCACAAGTGAACGCTCCTCAATGCTGGATTGCTGCCCCAAGGTGAGCACCTTCTCTGTGGCTCCAACACGTGGAAGTGTTTCTCACCAGGTGCTTGGAGCCGGTTTGCACAGCTTTCCTGAATGCTGTTCCGGCCTCACTCGGCCACGGGCTCTTCCCACAGATTCCAGGCCTTATTTGTGCAGTTTTCAGTGTGTGACCCATAGTGTTGCAAGCTGCAGAATGACTTCCAAACTGACCTTCCGAGCCCTTTGAATCAAGCCAGAGATCTTTGCTGATATATCAGTGGCCAAGTCTTTCCAAAAACAGCAATTCTCTGCACTCTTAAGCCAGATGCTGGGAGACCACCATGCAGACCCACCCCTGTGAAGACATTTCTTAATCAAAATGCAAAAAGTATTGTAGATAATAGTAATCAAAATAACCAGGGTTTATCTCTGTAAGGTATGTTGAAATTTCAAATAGAAATCTCCAAATTCTTTTAGAAAGATGTAATTAAATATGGACCATTAAATATTTGGGTTGCAAAGACTTAAAAACAACAGTATTTTTTTTTTTAAATTTAGTTGTAGATGTATACGATATCTTTATTTTATTTATTTTTATATGATGCTAAGGATCAAACCCACTTGCTAGGCAAGTGCTCTAGAGCTACCTTTTTTTAAGTTACTTTTTTGCAATGTGGGGTTGTGCTGTATCAAAAATACTTTTATCCTGTTTTTTTAGGCTGCTCCAAATCATACATGTCCTCAATAACATAGAAGAGCCGAGAGGTGTTTAGGAAAATCCTCATACTTTCCCAGGAGTGCTTTAAAAGGCGTGGGCATTTGGGACACACTGCATTCCAGCCATAAACATGTTCTTCTTACACGAACTCCTTTCCTCCTGTAATACAGTGGGAGAGTTCGTTGAGTCATTTGTGTTCATGCAAACAGAAGCTTTCCTTTCCTCTCTTTTGTCAGTCCCACCATTCTATTTCCAACATCTGGACCACCTTGGGAGAAGACTGGACCACTATGAGAAGCCCGAGCTTTCGCTGGGGTCTTATGAGTACGTGGCCACGTTGGATTACTGCAGGGTGAGTGTTCCCGGGGCTGGAGTGGGTGTGCATCGAGGTCACCTTCAGGTAAACAACCTTGCCATGTGCAGACTGATGCCTAGCTCAGCCGGGCTCTGGCAGCACCAGGGGCTCTGGAGCGAGGCAGGAGTCAGGGATGTGGCCTTTGGAAGGTCAGCCCGATCCAGTGGCCAGACCATGGCTGAAGTGCCAGAAAGAGGGAGCAATGATATTTGTCTTCTCTAGACAGAACATGCTGACTTCCTAGTGCAGCATTTCCACCAGGGCCCCCCAGGGCCTCTGCCCCGGGAGTCTCAAGGCCAGAGTGTAGCCATGTACTCCGAGGACCGTTGCTGGCCCTGTGTCTCCTTTCTTCTCTCCAGCTGTTGCCTCAGGGGCCTGGGGCCATGGCCTCCGCTGTCCTGGCTCCAAAATATACCCATAAGCCTCCCTTCCCAATGGCCTCCCTTCCCAATGGCCTCCCTTCCCAGTGGCCTCTCGTGAACCAATTTTAGTTGTTGTTTTTTTCCTAAAAATGTAAGTTAAAAATATTTTGCCTCCTGTTAAAGCCCTTGACTCTGGGACCCCAAACTGCCCTCAGCTCTGTCTGCCATTGAACAACCTCACCACATGTGCTGAACTCATTGCCCTTTGGTGGCTCACATTCACACAGGTGTTTTTAGGCAAGCGTGTTTTGCTGTCCTTCTCACACCTGTGTGCTCCCCGCTGGGAGACTGCTGCCCCAGCTCTGCTGCCTGGCGGGACGTTGTGTCCGTCCGTGCGGCACACCACTTGCTGTCCTCGTGTGGGCAGTGTGGTCCCACATCTGTGTCCTCAGAGAGCTAGGTCTGGATGGCTGTCTCAGCGTTTCTCCCCGTGGAGCTCAGGTCTCCCTGCTTGTCTGCCTGCCTCGTGTATTCTAACATCCTTGGGCCCAATCATCTTTGTGATATTTCCCAGTGACTGGCACAGGTAGACATTTGAGGGTACACGTGAAATGAATGAGTGAGTTTACAAATGAATGAGTGAGTGAGTGAGTGAATGAATAGGTGAATTAATGAATAAGTTAATGAGTCAGTCGATGAATGAGTGAATGAGAGATGAGTGCCAGTGGATGAGAATGAATGAATGAATGAATAGTGAGTAACTGGACTGAATGAATGAGTGCGTGAATTAATGCATGGATGAGTGGATGGCTGAGTGGATGAGTGAGTGGTGAGTGGACTAATGAGTGGGGGGTGGGAGGCAGGCAGGCTTCTATTCCAGTGCTGCAGGAGGATATCACTGGGGGCCCCCGGCAGAACTTCCCCACCGTCCGGGGATCTGAACACACCTCTGGGTCTCATGCAGGTCTCAGTGTGTAGCTGGAGCAGCCTGTGTGACCTGGAGAAGTGTCCTCCTCACTCTGCTCCTCACTTCCTTCCACAAACAACATCTGCAGTGCCGACTCCCAGGAAGCAGCCTCTGGCCCACAGAATGGACCCAGGGGTGTTTTCTGGGGGGACCAGTCCACACACTGAGAATAGGTGATAGGGAATGTTTCTCAAAACTAAAATTTTTCCAGTTAATTGGCTCTTTAAATTTTTTTCAATGAACATATCTTACTCATTTATTTTAGTGTTTTATATCATCATTTTGAACTACATTACATAGATCCTAATTGCTAAAGAAAAATGTCTTGTTAGTTTAAAATGCTGTAGTGTTTGAACATATTTGGAAAAATAGAAAAACAATTTTGGTACAAATGCTTTCTTTTAGGAAAGAAGCATGTCCTGAAGTACAGCCCAATTAGATTGGATAGTGATTTTTCTTTTTCCTTTCTGCTGTTGACTACAGGAGAATCATTAGGCAACACATAAGCATGTGCTGTTCTAACCAAATAGCAGAGTCACGCCAGCTGGTGGAGGGACATCTGTGCTGTAGGATAAGTCTGACCACGCTGGTCTCAAGCTCTGACCACAGGCCATGCAGGCTCCACGTGATGCTTTGGTAGAACCTCAGGCAGAAGGCAGACCTGCACTGGGAGAGCAGTCCTGGTACCTTCAAACTGCTGCAGGGGGCTGTCTGACTGGTGGAAACCCACTGGGAAGCAGGAGCCAAATCCAATTTGTACATTTTGAAGAGTTTTTATGAGCCTGCTCTTCCTTTTACTTTTCCAGGTAGAGTTCATAAAAAAAAAAATAATAATATGCTGTAAAGATCTTTCAATTCAATTATTATTTAAGATGTAAATGATGTAGACCAGTGAGCTCACACAGGGATTTGAATCATGGAAAGGAGCTTGTCTGCTTTGTGGGTGTGTGTTCAACACACACATTGAAAGGAGAGCTATATAATCATGTCGCCCACTCATCTCAGTCGGTCTTAATGTCCAGGCAAGATGGTGAAGTTGGCATTTCTGCACACACTGTGGTAGGGCCTAGTCTATGTGTGCTCTGGGTGGGTCTCTCAGCGACCCCCTGGCCACCACTGTGCGAGGAGACCAGGGCTGAGGCCTGGAGAGCTGGCCTCAGCTACTCAGATTCAAGCCTTTTTAAGAACCTGTGCCAACAGATTGTGGTGGAGGCCCACCAGGCTCTGCGTGGCAGGTGTCCGAGGAGCAAGGTGCCAGGACGTGTGCCTGAGACACGGCCCAGCTCTCAGTTCCCACTGGCTGAGATCACACCTTTGGTCTCTTGGGTTTTAAAGCAGATTGTTGAGGAGCATGAGGAGGGGCTCATAGGACAGTGAGCTGCTCCTTCTGGCCTGTCCACCCACGCCTGCTTGCTCCAGCAGCAGGGCTGAGCACCCTGTGTGGCACGCCCTGCCCTGGGCTCTCTGGCTGTGGACATTCTGACCTCGGAGGAGGCACGCTATGATCCATGCCACTTCGGGTGGGCTATTCCAACTGCAGTGGATGTGGTGAGGGGAGATCTGGAGGCAAGGGCAGGATGGGTTGGGAGAGAAGTCCAAGCCGGGAGCATGAGGGCTGACTGGCAATCTCTCCAACACTACAAGTGGAGCTGCATGTGGTCAGCCATACACCTAAAAACCCAGAAAGCAGAATCTCAAAGAGGGCCTGCTTTGAGATTGTGAGCAGGTGTTTCCAGTGCACCATTCACCAGGGCCCAAGGGGGAGCAAAGCCGTGTGCCCCGGTGGGTGGGTGGGTGGGTGGGCAGATGGAGGGGCCTGAGCTGCCACAGGTGTCGCTCAGCTCAAGGAGAGGCAGTTTCTGGCAGGTGCTGCCAAGCAGACGAAGGCCCAGGTCTGGTGCTGAGTGGAGCACCTAGCCACAGGCCAGGGCCATGCTGCACATCCAGGTGGCATGAGGCCGGGAGAGGCCAGACCCACAGGTTCAGAGCAGAATGGCGGCCAGCCCCTGGAGGGGCTGCAGGGTCAGTTTCAGTTTTGCAAGTTGGAGGAGTTATGAAAATGGATGTGAGAGCACTTGGCACCACTGACCTGCATGCTGAAGAAGTACTGAGTTTCATCTATTCATTTTACTACATTAAAACCAATTCTAGAGGAAAGAAGTGAGGGCTAACTTTGGGTTTTGCAAGGTGGCGAGTAGGATGGGAGGTCCTTCCAGTTTGGGAAAGCATGCTCTGAGAAACTTCCTTCCAGGAGGTGCTGGGGTAACTGTAGCTTCTGAAACCCGCAGACCTTGCTTGGGGCTGTGCGGCAGCTCACGGGAACACTGGCCTGGAGCTCAGAGGCTAGGAGAGCCCGGGAGGCAGCCCTCACAGTGGCCTAAAGATAGACTCCAGGGCGTTAAGAGGGAGGCTGTGACAAAACACAGTGGAAAAATCACTCTGGAAAAAAGGGTCCCCATGACTGAGGGAAGGGAATGGTCAGACCTGCACTGTCTGCCAGCTTCTGATATGCGTGTGGGAAAGGGGCCACTGGGGAGTGTTGTGGAGCGAGAGGCTGGCACCAGGAGCATGCCCAGAGGGAGCTGCTGGCTGAGGAGAGGGCAGGCGTGGAGGACACTCGGGCTCGTCACAGAGGCGGGTTCACTGATGGGAGTGGCTGCGTGCTCACCCAGCGAGAGTCAGCACAGATGTGCTGCAGGGAGGAGGCAGGACCAGGAGCCACCTGCCAGGAAAGCACCCGTGTGTCAGCAGCAGGTTCCTTTGCCTCTTGACTTTGGGTGTGGCAAAGGGATGAAGTCTTACATTTTGTGCCCTGAAACCTTCAGTGAACTACTTTTAGCCAGGGGTGGCCGGGCATGCCTGTCACCCCAGCTTCTTGGAGGCTGAGGCAGGAAGACCAAGAATCCCAGGCCTTCCTGGGCAAGTTAGGAGACCCTGCCTCCAGATAAAACGTTCTAGGCTGGGACCTAGAGCCCCTCTGGGTTCAGACTCAGTACTGCAAAAGCACGTTAGTAAAATGAAGTACTTCTACTAGAACAGCATCCTATCAGCCTTGTAGTGCATGCAGAATGAATATGATTAAAACATGATTTTATTTTAGAACATTTTTATGGTTTATCATAAAGTTAGAAATCGAGCTGGTGTTTGCTCTGGGGTAGGTCGCGGAAGCTGTTTGCCTGTGGCTCTCTGGTCTGCCTATTTCCTAACCCCCACTAGGAATCACTTCCTTGAGCACCAGAGCCAGACCGGGGGGCAAACAGCCTGAAACCGTTCCATAGCAGCTGCTTCAGGACAGTGACGTTTCAGACACACAAAGGCCCTGTTGACAATGGATATGAAATAAATCGAGCACGCGCTCAACAGTGTGGTGCTATTTTTAAATTCTGCGTTAGATTTTAGTGTCTGATGTCCTATCAGTGCAACTGAAGCAGAGCTTGTAAGAGCCCTAAACAGGGACACGGCCGGTGAGATCTCCTGCAGCAGCTTCAGTCTGGGGGTCTGCCAGCTGTCACAGAGCTGCAGAGTCAGTCAGGTCCCGAGTCAGCTGCTGCCTCATCTCTCCTGCAGCATCAGACTCTCTTCTTGAACATGGTTTGATTCCACTGATGTTACCTCCTAAATATTCAGTGAACCTTCTGAAGACCTGCGGGTCTGCAGTGAGTGAGTTTGATGTGAAAGGTCTTCACCATGTGCACTGTCTGCTTTCCTGCAGAAGAACAAGCCTCCCAGCCCGCCGGCCTTTATCTTCATGATCAACGTTTCATACAGCAACATCAAGAGTGGGCTGGTGAAGCTCATCTGTGAGGAACTGAAGACGGTGCTGCAGCGGCTTCCAAGGTCAGACCTGCCTCCTTGCTACCCCACAGGGTTGCTGGCTAACTGGGCCAGCGCCCAGGACTCAGCGGCCAGTGGAGGTCTTTTGCTAAGGAGGATATTGGGTAATTAGTTACAGATCAAACGGCACCATCCTTTTGAGTTTTTGAAATGTTAAAGTGATCTTCTGTACAAACCCAGGAAACAGGTGCTGGGGTAACAATGCTCAACACCTTTGCAGATTAGCAGGGAACTCTGCAGTGCCAGGAGCATGGAGTTTGTCCTTCACCTTCCAAAGCACTGACTTTCCCGTGGGGTCTGGTCTTATGGTGGATGCAGAGTGAATCAATGATTTACACACAACACCACTAATTTTATAATTATTAAAACATAACTTTATTTTAGAACACTTTTACGATTTATCATCAGGTTAAAAATTGAGCTGGTCTTTTCTCCGTGTAGGTTGTGGAAACTGAATAATGGTGTATTTTATCATGGAATCCTCTCACAGGCTCTGGGTTCTCAGCCTGAACTTTTGAGTTGCTCCAGTTTCCATGATGGGCTTTCCCTCCTCCCGTTTTTTCCAACCCCATCTGCACTAGCACCAGCTCCTCCCTTTGCACCTGCTACCTAGTGGGGAGGAGTGCTGGCCGCGCCCGGGCACCAGGTGTGAGGCCATAGTTGCGCCCCCAGAGGACATCCAAAAGGACAGGCGGGCACCCGAGCTCTTGCCCTGCTGCCTCTCCCTCCCGCCTGACTTGGGGTAGGTCTGGTTGTCTCTCCTCCTGGGATGCATTTGGGCCGCACAGGTGTGGCTTTAAGGTCGCCCTGTCAATCTGACTCCCTTCTTGAAGCAGTCTGGGGTCCTGATGGACGTCTTAGGGTGTGTTTACCTTTTAGCTGATCCTTTGAAAGAAAAGGCCCTGTGCTTCACGACTTCGTTTTGAATTTCTGTCTGAACATATGTCTTGGGCCTGGCAAACTTGCCAGACTTTTCTGACCTTTTTGGAACAGGAAAGAAAAGCTTTGAGATATTCCACCTGGTGTCCATACCCAGCTACTGGGCCAAGTGTGTGGCCGTTTGTGTTTTGAGGATGTTCTGGTTCCTCTCCTTACTAACGACCTCAGCATTGCTCTGTCCAGTTTGCTCTGATAAAATTGTGGCAGGTGTTCAGGAGGCGACAGAGGAAGCAGGTGTTACGGGCTGTACCCTCGCAGCGCAGGTGGGACTGTTGTGAGGGGAGGCTGAGAGTTTTCTTCTGTGGATATGATTGAATGAGGTAGTTATAATGTGGAGAAAACGTTTGGACAGTGTCTGGTTTCTTAAACAAACTTTTAAAAAGTAAAACATGTTCCCGTGGAGATAATGGTGTCTTCTCATGGGAGGGGAACTGACCAGATGCTTTTCAAAATGCTCCTTCGGGTTCTAAGTGATTCCTGTGAGCCTCAGGCCTCCTCCCTCTTGCCTGTGTCTTCCCTGCCCAGTGGAAACAGTGATCTGGATTGTGCTGGGCTGTTTTTCTTTTGCTCTTTGCCCTCTCTGACTCCAGACCACCTGCTAAAGAGAATATTTGTGATTTGCTAGGCACTTTCCCCTTGTGTGATAGAGGTCCACTGGGAAGTGGAGGCCTACCCAGTAGTGTGCTAGTAAACTGTCCCTCAGATGGACAAAGCCTAGCTTGGCAGTGTCCATTCCATGGCCAGGCTGGCCCAACACTCACTGCTGGGACACTGTGCAGTGTGCATGAGCTCATCAATTTGGGCCCCAGATGGCCACCCAACTCAGTGTCTCCCAGTATGGTCATCCTCAGCAGACCCCTAACTGCCCCCTGTGCTACAGCCTGTGGGGCAAAAGAAGACTCTGCTATGAAGACTCTGCACGTGAGAGCAAGGGAGAATGGTTTCTGTAGTATGGTTTGGGCATGGCAAGACATGGATTGGCATGGTATAGTATGGTGTGGCATGACCTGGTATGGCATGACCTGGTATGGCATGGCTTGGTATGGCATGGCTTGGTATGGCATGGCATGACCTGGTATGGTGTAGTATGGCTTGGTATGGCATGACATGGCATGGCATGGCTTGGACTGGTATTGTATGGCATAGTAGGCTTTGGTATTGCATGGCATGGCTTGGCATGGTATGGTACAGTGTAGTATGGCTTCGTATGACCTGGTATAGTGTAGTATGGCTTGGAGTGGTATGGCATGATGTGGCATGGCTTGGTATGGTATGGCATGCTATTGCTATAGTATAGCTTGGTATGGCATGGCATGGCCTGGTATGACCTGGCATAGTGTAGTATGGCTTGGTATGGCATGACGTGGTGTGGCATGTCTTGGTAGACCTGGTATGGTGTAGTAAGGGTTGGTGTCATGGTGTGGTATAGCATAGTGCTAATTACCTGAAGTCATACATCTTGGATACTGAGATGAATATGAGCATCTCTATCTGTATAGTCACAAAAGATGAGGATTCCTACTTCTCAAAGCTTTGCAAGTGTCTAGAATGCCAGTGTGTACTGAGTGTGTGTGGAAGGGATTGAGAGAATCTGTGAACATTTCAACCTTTACTAAGGCAACATAAAGAATACCCTCTGTTGGCAAAGGAAGGAGATAATAAATGACACAGTTGAAAAACACAGTGCTTGTCAGCCTACCCTCTGCTGAACATCAAAGAAATCAAGGCGTCTAAAGCAGAAGCAGATACTCAAACTGGTCTAATGCTCATCTGAATTCTTCCATCTTCCTTTTTCTTGTAACTCTTTATGCCACATGGAATTGGAGCAGCCAGGTCCTTTGGAAAAATTGTCTTAAGCAAAATGAGCTGCACTGGATCTAAGGGTCAAAGAGAATAGCAAGTGACACTGTGGCCTTCCCTGGGTCAGAGCGGGACGCAGCAGCCAGTGGAAACGAGAGGATTCTGTTTCTCCCTGTGGTTAACCTTGTCTAGGGAGGGAGCAGGGGAGACAGTGCTCCCTGTACATGAACCACCCAGTTCTGAGCACTGCCTCCACACACTGCACCCAGAACCTTCCAGGATCTACACACTCAGGAAGACCAAGGCCTTGTGAAATTCCTAAAGCCATCCACATTATTACAGTTTTACTGCTTTTGTTACTTTTTCACGATACCACAAAAGGGCCCTTTCTTAATAAGAGTAACATTGTCAATATACAATGTAATTGCTTTGGAAGTATTGTTATTAGGACATATAGGTTCAAAAATGAGCCTCCTCTCAGAGGCCCTGGGACTGCAGGAGGGGCAAATCCTTTCCTGGTGGAGTGTAGGAGCTGTGTTCCTGAGTAATGGAGGTAAAATCACACTTACTAAAGAAATGTGGGCTGGGGATGTGGCTCCAGTGTATCGCGCCCGCCTGGCATGCGCGAGGCACTGGGTATGATCCTCAACACCACGTAAAAATTTAAAAAATTAAATTAAATATATTGCGGGCACCTGAAACTAAAAAAAAAAAAAAATAATTAAATATTAAAAAAAAAAAAGAAATGTGAGCAAGTGTTCTCATAATATGTATTTTGCTTTCCCTTGGAATTTTGAGATTCCTCATCACTGCCTGATTTTGTAATACCCTCATCCCCAGGATGTGGCTTTGCCTTGTTTTCTTCAGGAAACCCAAATTCAGACACATATTCTTTATATGTCCAACTGAAACACTTCTCATTCCATTTTATGAAAGGCCCACAACAGTTTTTTTGCTTATAGGGAAGAGCACGAAGAGTCGTCTGCAGTTCGCGTTGGGTTTATCACCTACCACACAGTTCTTCACTTCTTTAACGTGAAGAGCAACTTGGCCCAGCCTCAGATGATGGTGGTGACCGACATTGGAGAGGTCTTTGTTCCTCTGCTGGATGGGTTCCTTGTCAACTATCAAGAGTCCCAGTCGGTGATTCACAAGTAAATGTCATGTGTCCTATCATTTCAGGACAGCCAAGACCTGTTGGGTGCACTGCATCTTGATTCTGTCTGATTTTGTGTTGTTTTGCCATCAGTAGAGGGATTTGAAGACATGGATTACACACTTCTGTCATCGTGTTCTGCCTATTGCTCTTTAATGTGAACCAGAATCTAAAAGGACCAGAATCTTTAATGTGGATCATACTCGTCTTAATCCTCTGAATCATTCCTTTTTTCTGGGGGTGCATGGGAGGTACCTTCTGCATGGGGAAGAGTGTCCATGGTGATAGTATTGAAGATACAGGCAGGTGTGGGCACGCCTGTCACCCCAGCTGCCCAGAGGCTGAGGCGGAGGAGCAGAAACGCCAGGCCAGCCGGGGCAATTCAGTGAGGCCCTGATTCAGAATAGAAAGTAAGAAGAGCTGGGCGTGGCTCGGAGGTAGAGCACTTGACTGGCACGTGTGAGGCCCCGGGTTCAACCCTCAGCACAGTATATAAATAAATAAAAAGGGATCCATTGAAAACTTAAAAAATATTAAAAAGAAAAGAAAGAAAGAAAACTAAGAAGAGCTGGGGGGTGTGGCTCAGAGGTAGCACTCCCCTGGGTTCCAACCTCTGTGCTGTAAAGAGATAATACTGTTTCAGAAACTCACAGTCTGAGAGATCAGGAGTGTGGTGAATAGGAGCACATACAGAGTTGACGCAGTTGGTGTCTGGTCCAGGCCCCATACTTGGTTCTGACTGTGCTGGGAGGCCCTGCCCTGAGGAAGGGTCTGTGGACCTTCCCTGAGGCCGTCACCATGCATCTGGGCCTGTGCTGCCAGTGGCTGAGCTCTCAGGGCCTGGACAGGCCCGTGGGCCACTCAGTACCTCTACTTTCTCCTGCCCTGTAGCTTGCTGGACCAGATTCCAGGGATGTTTGCAGACTCCAATGAGAACGAGGCCGTCTTCGCTCCTGTGGTCCAGGCGGGCATGGAGGCTCTGAAGGTGAGACCAGCCGCTCTGCATGCTGGCAACTGCAGCTGAAGACAGGCCCTGGGCTCTGGAGGCTGCCCTGCCCAGCCCACTGCCCAGTGGCCACGCAGCTCCTCCAGGTCCGAGCCCTGGTCTGGAGGCTGCAGCTCAGCACCTGCTCTTGGCTACGTGAGACCGACTTTAAAGTCGGTTTAGCAAGAGCTGACCACCAGCTATGAGGGGAGAAACCCCCTTCCTGTGGGGTTTTCAGGCATGCAGGGCAGGTCCTCAGGGCCCAGTGATAGGGACAGCAGTGACACTTGGGCCTGGCTGAGGCTGAAGGTATGGCCAGTGGAACCCAAATGATTCTGGTGGTTGTCACCAAGGAGGTGGGTGGAGGTGAAGCCACCGATGGCTGCGCCAGTCGGACCCCGGCGGCCGCTTCCCAGTCAGTTCTGAAGTTCTGTTGTTAACGTTGAGTTTAGGTTGACCTGTAAGACACAGTGCAGCCTGACACTGAGAGCAGCAAGATCCTCGTCCTCCCTGGCCTGGGCCTTCCCTCCAGTGCTCTGGGGATGATGGGTTGGTCCCCTCCGCAGGGCCTCTGCCTTGGCCTGAGCTGTCACTGCACCCCAGCCACAGCCCTCAGCCCACTCCTGAAGGACCAGCTGGTTCACCCTGCTGTGGAGGCTTGCTGTGAGCACCTCTGCCACTCAGATCCAGACCCTGCCGTCCTCCTGCTCAGTGGGACTCACGTGCCTGGAGGCTAAACTGGGGGCTGGACAAGGTGCTGCTACTGTGCCTTGTGTCTGGTGCCTGCTACACAGACTAGCATTTGACACTGGCCCATCGGAAACCTTCGTGGGAGGCCTGGCCTTGCTGAGCCTCAGTTTCTCAGCCTGTAACACGGAGGGAACGTACCTGCCTGAGAACACAGATTAGATGGCTGTAGGGCTCACCTCGCAGAACCAACCTGTACATTTTGACATACTTCTATCCCCTTAAAATAAAGCCTCCACGCTCAAGCATTTTCTGAGATTCCCCTGTCTCTGTTCTAGGCAGCAGAGTGTCCTGGCAAGCTGTTCATCTTCCATTCCTCCTTGCCAACTGCTGAAGCGCCAGGGAAGCTCAAAAACAGAGACGACAAGAGACTGCTCAACACAGACAAGGAGAAGGTACAGGCCGGCCGTGGGTGGCAGAGCCCGCCCGCCCTGCTGTCAGGGGGGGAGAGGCTCTGGAGTCAAAGCCTGCATTGCACAGTGCAGGACTGTTTTGAGTTGCAGAAATTTGAGAATTTTTATATTACTAGAAAAACATAAATGAGAGCCCAAACATATTCTGTGTATATAATCTGTATAAGAGGCCAAGAACCAGGGGGATGCTGAACACAGAGTCCACGGAGAACAGACACATGCCGTGGGACCCCGAGGCACAGGCTGGGGCCTGAGGCAGAGCTGCTGGGCTCTCCAGACAGCCTTGGCTCAGACCTGCAGTGGTGTAGCCCTGGGTCGAGGACCACAGGGTCGGCACCACTGGGGTTTTGAGAAGAAGGCAGACGAGTGTTTCTGAAGCTCACTTAGCTGGAAAACACAGTTTCCATTTAAAATTTCAATAGTAATCCAACAGAAACTCAGATTTTGTGCCTGAAATACCTTGTGACTTTTCTTTTTCCATTCTTGCACACTTTTCTTCAGATTCTTTTCCAGCCCCAAACCAGTGTCTATGAGTCTCTGGCCAAAGACTGTGTGGCCCATGGCTGCTCTGTGACCCTCTTCCTCTTCCCCAGTCAGTATGTGGATGTGGCCTCCTTGGGCCTTGTTCCTCTGCTCACCGGGGGAACTCTTTACAAGTACAGCGATTTCCAGGTAGGTGACACCATTGTTGTCTGTCTCCCACTTTAACGCAGTGTGTGGGGGAGCCACGCCCAGCACTGAACCAGACACAGATAAATGCAGACACAGATGCACAGTGGACGAGTCCCTTGGTGTTGCCTGGTATTTGCCAAAGGTGGAGCTCATTCAGTCTCAGAGTTAAACATCCACCTATGCTGTCATAATGGAGAAAATAATCTGGGTTTAAGGTACTGTTTAGAAAAATAGATATTTGTTTCAAATTGTCGAAATGGAGGGTCAGTTTATTACACTGCTCTCTTCCACATCTGAGTGGAGACAGATCTGAGGTGATCAGAGCACTAGCCCTGCAAGGCCCCAGGCTGCAGGCAGCTGGCTTCTCCTGCGCCACCCTGAGTCTGACAAGTGCGCACACCCAGGGACGGATCAGGCGTCTCCTCTCAACTCCTGTGTCAGGGAGAGTCACCATGTTGAAGCAGAAGGCCTGAGCCTGCCACAGGACTAGGAGTTGTGCTAGGGCTGCTCAGCTGTGGCCCCTGAACCTCCTCTGCCATGGCGACAGCAGAGTGCCAGCACCATGGGAGATGGCCCACAGGCTCCGTGGAGGACCCTCCTGACCTAACGTGGAGGGGGAAGCAGCACTGGGGAGATGGCCCACGGGCTCCGTGGAGGACCCTCTGACCTAATGTGGAGGGGGAAGCAGCACAGGGGAGATGGCCCACGGGCTCCGTGGAGGACCCTCTGACCTAATGTGGAGGGGGAAGCAGCACAGGGGAGATGGCCCACGGGCTCCGTGGAGGACCCTCTGACCTAATGTGGAGGGGGAAGCAGCACTGGGAGAGATGGCCCACGGGCTCCGTGGAGGACCCTCCTGACCTAACGTGGAGGGGGAAGCAGCACAGGGGAGATGGCCCACGGGCTCCGTGGAGGACCCTCCTGACCTAACGTGGAGGGGGAAGCAGCACTGGGGAGATGGCCCACGGGCTCCGTGGAGGACCCTCTGACCTAATGTGGAGGGGGAAGCAGCACAGGGGAGATGGCCCACGGGCTCCGTGGAGGACCCTCTGACCTAATGTGGAGGGGGGAAGCAGCACTGGGAGAGATGGCCCACGGGCTCCGTGGAGGACCCTCTGACCTAATGTGGAGGGGGGAAGCAGCACTGGGGGAGATGGCCCACGGGCTCCGTGGAGGACCCTCTGACCTAATGTGGAGGGGGAAGCAGCACAGGGGAGATGGCCCACGGGCTCCGTGGAGGACCCTCCTGACCTAATGTGGAGGGGGAAGCAGCCCAGCTGCACGCCTTCCCCAGCCTCATTGAATGGGTGGCACAGTGGTCTTAGTCTTGCCTCTAACACAAAACCCCTAAAATTAGTAACAATTTCCCCATCTAACCATTATGAAAATGAAAGAAATGATATGAGTTTCATTTGAAAACTTCAGAATCTCTGTCCAAAGGTCCTATATTTTCTTTAACCAAAGAAACATAAGCTATGCTTATGATTTAGCATATAAATATGCTAAATCAGGATTAAAAATGAGAACCATTTTAATTATGTTTTAAAAACAAGAATCATCAAGTATTTTACTGCCATCTGCCACACGTGACTGTGCTTGTTTTCTCAGATGCACTTGGATAGCCAGCAGTTCCTGAATGACCTCAGAAGTGACGTGGAGAAGAAAATAGGTTTTGATGCCATCATGCGGGTGCGGACCAGCACAGGTAGGTCTCCGCGTGCTCAGCTATCTGGGTGACGTTGACAGCGGAGCAGTCAGTAGAACCCCTCCTTGTGCTTCAGGTTTCAGAGCCACAGACTTCTTTGGTGGGGTCTTCATGAACAACACCACAGACGTGGAGATGGCTGCCCTGGACTGTGACAAGGCTGTGACGGTGGAGTTCAAGCATGACGACAGGCTCAGTGAGGACAGTGGCGCCCTGATCCAGGTGACCTGCCTGCCCTCACTGCAGCACGGCTCGTGCTGGCCAGAATCAGGGGCCCCCATGCAGACGGGATCACAGTCCCTTCACAAAGAAATGCAGTTCTTTTCCAGGGGCTGGGTCCACCTAGAGAGCCTACTATGCCTGCAGGTGTGGCTGCTATGCCTGCAGCATCCTGGCCTGCACAGAGCCAGGCACCTGTGCTGGGCACCCAGTGTCCAGGGTGCCCACTAGGGCTCACCCACTCTGTCTTTCACGAGGTCCGGGTTCCTGGCTGAGCACTCAGGGCTCAGGGTCCCCATTAGGAATCATTCCATTCCTGCTGCATGTGCATTAGTCAGCTCCAGCCACCAGGAAGTGCACATCTCCTGGTTATAGAGCAGAACTCTGTTCTCAGGGTTCTGGGGGCTGTCCAGGCCTGTGTTCCCCTGTCCTCACACGGTCTCCCTCCTGTCATCATGTCTGTGCCCATGGCTCTCTCCCTGTAAGGACACCAGTCACATTGAACTCAGGTCCCTCTAGTGACCTGGTTTAATAACTTTACCTCCTAGGCCCTCTCTCCCAGCACAGGTTAGGATCCACAGCTCAGCTCTGACACCATGTTGAGCACATTATATCATCAGCAAGTAGAATAGAATTTGGTTTTGTAGTACGTAACATTAATTAGAAGGCATGGAGCTTTTCAATTCAGATGGGAAAAAAGGTCACTAACTGGCCACTGGTTCCAGTTCAGCGTGGCACCAAGAGGGTGCAGAGAGGCTGAGACTTGCTGAGTGGGGGCTCTGATGTCCACTCTTGAGTCGCAAACGCTCAGGCTCTTTGGTGCATACGTCATCACATGAGCCTGAGCATCCCATGGGTCTTGCTGTGGCTGTGAGTGGTCTGAGCACAGTGGAGCTGCACACGTGGAGGTGGAGTCATGCACGTGCGGCACCCACCGGGCAGTGCATACCAGTGGAATGCTGCTGGAAACCCAGAGGAGGAGCCGTGCACTCTGCTGTGGGGGTGTGGGGCATCCAGGGGTCCCTGCCACACACACTGCTTGGCAAATGCAAACTAGAGGCAGCCAGGCTGGCTGGAGGTCACCAAAACCTGGGCCTCGCCCTGCTTCTTCCACAGTGTGCTGTGCTTTACACCACCATCGGGGGTCAGCGGAGACTTCGGATTCACAACCTCGGCTTAAACTGTAGCTCCCAGCTAGCAGATCTTTACAAGAGCTGTGAGACGGATGCCCTCATCAACTTCTTTGCCAAGTCAGGTACAGCTTTGCTAGCTCTGTGTGAGTGCTCTTGGTGTTCCGTCCAGACCCCTAGGCTAGTTGTGATGGTAGCCGAGATTGGGTGGGGGTGCAGCCATGGCTGCACATAACCAGAATGAGTGAAGGCAGAGCACAAAGGAAGACGTGTGCATCTGCAGCAGCAGGTGATAGGCAGAGGCTAGGCCCTATGGTGGCCACAATGAGCCAGCGGCACACGGCAGGGTGGAAGGAGGCTGCCAGGAATGGTTGGCCTGTCGTCCGTACCTTGGTAACTGAATTCCACGGGCCCAGGGAGGGTGTCTGTGGCTTCTCTCTGCCATGCTACCCCAGGTTATGGAAGCAGTAGCTGTCAGCTGCAGGAATTCAGAACACCAGAAAAGGAAAAAACCAGCCCTTCTCTTCTCGGTGTAGAAGTGTTTATGATATTCTGAAGATGATTCTGGGGCCACAGTGGCCTTTTGCTGTAGGCCGCCCACTGCTCTGCACTGACTAGATGCCACCCAATCAGGAGGGGATGTCAGCAGGGACTAGCATTCTGAATACTGCCATCCTCACTTCAGACCTGAGGACAATAGCAGTTTGTTCTTTCTCTGTCATTTGAAGAGATCAGTATCTAGAACTTTGATGCCTGTTTTCCTAATGGCCTTTTGCATTCAGCTTTTAAAGCAGTTCTACACCAGCCTTTGAAAGTCATCCGGGAAATCCTAGTTAATCAGACTGCACACATGTTGGCGTGTTACCGCAAGAACTGCGCCAGCCCGTCTGCAGCGAGCCAGGTGAGTGTGGGCATGGGGAGGCTGAAAGTGAGAGCAGTGGGTTCCTTCAGCAAGTGGACTGAGGCGGTGACACCGCACCCGGAGCGGGCAGTGAGCCTCACAGCCAAGGGGGCCAAGGGCATGGTCTTGGGGGCCACAATGGGTCCTGAGCCAAAGACAGGTGTCCACGTTCAGCTCAGATCTGTACGTGTAAACAGCAGAATGTGGTGTGCTCAGTGTTCCCAGCTGTAACGGGGCAGGTGTTGGCACGACCGTGGCTCCCCTTACACCTGTGCGACCTTCCTGTTGAAAGTCACCAGCAGGGAGATGCTCTGAAAGCCTTGTCTCAGCCCTCACCCAGGAAGCTCGATGCTTCCAGGGCCCTTTAAGAAGCCCTGCTCAGGCTCTGCAGTGAAGGTGCTCGTGGCTCTCCCCGAGGCAGTGAGCGCGAGGTGCTGGTGCTCCCTGTACTGACTATCTGAACATAGAATTTTGGTTGAAGGGTAAGACGGTGAGAGACCACGGGAGACTCCCGCATCCCTCCCTCAGAAGTGGTCAGTAGGAGGAAGCTGAAGTGCCTTCCCAGGGCCTGCAGTGGCCGCAGTGATGCCGAAGGCTCTGGGTCCCCGTCCGTCCTCTAGGTACGCCTACCTGGACCCTCCCTGAAGCTCCTTTCTGTGCGTTGACGACGGTCAGCCTGCATGCTTTATTCTCCTGCATTGATGGTCCCAGGAGCGTCTCAATCTGCTCATGTGGTCCTGTGGTTGAGCAGTGCACCACTTTGGCATGCCACAGCCCCATACCGAGGCGCCGGGAGCTCATGGGACCCTGTGGGCCTCAGCATCTGTAGTCAGGCAAGCAGAGTCCAGAAGCAGCACTTGCCAGGCTCTGCCGCTTGTCCCTGAGTCCTGGCAGAGCTGCGCTGTCTCGGGAGCCCCTCCTTCAGGATGCGGTGGCTGAACGGATGCTGTTAACATTCTCTGCACATCAGGATGATTGGGAACCTGAGAAAAGCAAATCTGTTAAGGAAAAGGAAGCCAGGCCCTCCTCCTTCCTGGTCTGCTGCCGGAGGCGCTGTCCCGTGCCAGGCCTTCTCCTCGGCAGCGTGTTGTGCGTAAAGACACCACAGTGCCCCGCTCTCGGCACGTCGACGGAGCCATTCCTGCTCACATATGGACTTTTATTCCTCCACTAGCACATTTCAGGCCCTTCGACCAGTGATGCCCTTGAAACAGTGATGTAACTTAGCTGCTGTCGTGGAGTCCAGAAGACAGAGGTCAGGAACCGTTAGAACAGAGCTCTACTGAAGCAAGGCAGTAGCCAGAAGCAGAAGGGCCGAGCTAGCTTCAGGTTCTCTGCAGAAGCTGCAGTGAAGCTGGAGGTGCTCCTGCCGCTCATGTGAGGGAATCAGATCGTGCCTCACATGGAGCCAGACAGCCCAGGAGGAGCCGTGTCCTCGACATGACCCTGGCCTCCACGTAGGGATGAGGCTGAGGCAGGAGAACGTGCTGGGGACAGAGTTCAGGGAGCCCCCAGGCTGTGGGAGGCGCTGGGCCGAGACTGGCTGGACACAGCACTGAAACGAAATGTTAGGGCCATTTGCTTTGTCAACTCCAGCAGCTCACTGTTCTGAGCTTGAACGCGTTACGCCATTTGGGGTATAAGGACTTCTAAAGGCAAATCAGATGACCTCACTTGCACATTAACCCTTGTTTTGTCATTTCTAAATGCAAAGAAACGCTTCCCTGACTCAAGCAAACTGGACCCTGCTCCTTTCTCACCTGCAGCGTTTCTCTCCAGGAGTGATCGCATCGTGGAGGGGCCTCAGAGCTGGGGAGGAAGGTTTCATAGTGACAGTCTGTTGCGACACCTTCTTCTTCCCCTCATGAACCTTGACTAAGTCAGCTTCTTATTTGCTTTGACCTGTTGTGTGTGTGGTGCTGCTGGGCCCAGGGCTCACGCTGCGCACGTGCTTTCAAGCTGGGCCGCGCCCTACACTTTCTTTCACTCTTTTTTTTATTTTTAATTTTTTATTGTGGGTTGTTCAAAACATTACAAATTTCTTGACATATCATATTCCACACTTTGATTCAAGTGGGTTATGAACTCCCACCTTCACCCCATACACAGATTGCAGAATCACATCAGTTACACATCCATTGATTTACATATTGCCATACTAGTGTCTGTTGTGCTCCGCTGCCTTTCCCATCCTCCACCCTCCCCCCTCCCCCCCCCTCCCCTCCCCTCCCCTCCTCTCTCTCTACCTCCTCCACTGTATAACCCTGAGGGTCTCCTTCCATTTCCATGCAATTTCCCTTCTCTCTCCCTTTCCCTCCCACCTCTCATCCCTGTTAAATGTTAATCTTCTTCTCCTGCTCTTCGACCCTACTCTGTTCTTAGTTACTCTCCTTATATCAAAGAAGACATTTGGCATTTGTTTTTTAGGGATTGGCTAGCTTCACTTAGCATAATCTGCTCTAATGCCATCCATTTCCCTGCAAATTCTATGATCTTGTCATTTTTTAATGCAGAGTAATACTCCATTGTGTATAAATGCCACATTTTTTTTATCCATTCGTCTATTGAAGGGCATCTAGGTTGGTTCCACAGTCTTGCTATTGTGAATTGTGCTGCTATGAACATCGATGTAGCAGTGTCCCTGTAGCATGCTCTTTTTAGGTCTTTAGGGAATAGACCAAGAAGGGGAATAGCTGGGTCAAATGGTGGCTCCATTCCCAGCTTTCCAAAAAATCTCCATACCGCTTTCCAAATTGGCTGCACCAATTTGCAGTCCCACCAGCAATGTACAAGTGTACCCTTTTCCCCACATCCTCGCCAGCACTTGTTGTTGTTTGACTTCCTAATGGCTGCCAATCTTACTGGAGTGAGATGGTATCTTAGGGTGGTTTTGATTTGCATTTCTCTGACAGCTAGAGATGGTGAGCATTTTTTCATGTACTTGTTGATTGACTGTATGTCCTCCTCTGAGAAGTGTCTGTTCAGGTCCTTGGCCCATTTGTTGATTGGGTTGTTTGTTCTCTTGTTGTCTAATTTTTTGAGTTCTTTGTATACTCTGGATATTAGGGCTCTATCTGAAGTGTGAGGAGTAAAGATTTGTTCCCAGGATGTAGGCTCCCTATTTACCTCTCTTATTGTTTCTTTTGCTGAGAAAAAACTTTTTAGTTTGAGTAAGTCCCATTTGTTGATTCTAGTTATTAACTTTTGTGCTATGGGTGTCCTATTGAGGAATTTGGAGCCCGACCCCACCGTATGTAGATCGTAGCCAACTTTTTCTTCTATCAGACGGCGCGTCTCTGATTTGATATCAAGCTCCTTGATCCATTTTGAATTAACTTTTGTGCATGGCGAGAGAAAGGGATTCAGTTTCATTTTGTTGCATATGGATTTCCAGTTTTCCCAGCACCATTTGTTGAAGATGCTATCCTTCCTCCATTGCATGCTTTTAGCCCCTTTATCAAATATAAGGTAGTTGTAGTTTTGTGGATTGGTTTCTGTGTCCTCTATTCTGTACCATTGGTCCACCTGCCTGTTTTGGTACCAGTACCATGCTGTTTTTGTTACTATTGCTCTGTAGTATAGTTTGAAGTCTGGTATCGCTATACCGCCTGATTCACACTTCCTGCTTAGCATTGTTTTTGCTATTCTGGGTCTTTTATTTTTCCATATGAATTTCATGATTGCTTTCTCTATTTCTACAAGAAATGCCGTTGGGATTTTGATTGGCATTGCATTAAACCTATAGAGAACTTTTGGTAATATCGCCATTTTGATGATGTTAGTTCTGCCTATCCATGAACAGGGTATATTTTTCCATCTTCTAAGATCTTCTTCTATTTCTCTCTTTAGGGTTCTGTAGTTTTCATTGTATAAGTCTTTCACCTCTTTTGTTAGGTTGATTCCCAAGTATTTTATTTTTTTTGAAGATATTGTGAATGGAGTGGTTGTCCTCATTTCCATTTCAGAGGATTTGTCGCTGATATACAGGAATGCCTTTGATTTATGCGTGTTGATTTTATATCCTGCCACTTTGCTGAATTCATTTATTAGCTCTAATAGTTTCTTCGTAGAGCCTTTTGGGTCTGCTAGGTATAGAATCATATCATCTGCAAATAGTGATAATTTAAGTTCTTCTTTTCCTATTTTTATGCCTTTAATTTCTTTCGTCTGTCTAATTGCTCTGGCCGGTGTTTCGAGAACTATGTTGAACAGAAGTGGAGAGAGAGGGCATCCCTGTCTTTTTCCAGATTTTAGAGGGAATGCCTTCAGTTTTTCTCCATTCAGAATGATGCTAGCCTGAGGCTTAGCATAGATTGCTTTTACAATATTGAGGTATGTTCCTGTTATCCCTAGTTTTTCTAGAGTTTTGAACATAAAGGGATGCTGTACTTTGTCGAATGCTTTTTCCGCATCTATCGAGATGATCATATGGTTCTTATTTTTAAGTCTATTGATGTGGTGAATAACATTTATTGATTTCCGTATATTGAACCCGCCTTGCATCCCAGGGATGAATCCTACTTGATCATGGTGCACAATTTTTTTGATATGTTTTTGTATCTGATTCGCCAGAATTTTATTGAGGATTTTTGCATCTAGGTTCATTAGAGATATTGGTCTGTAGTTTTCTTTCTTTGAAGTGTCTTTGTCTGGTTTAGGTATCAGGGTGATGTTGGCCTCATAGAATGAATTTGGAAGTTCTCCCTCTTTTTCTATTTCCTGAAGTAGCTTGAAAAGTATTGGTATTAGTTCCTCTTTAAAGGTTTTGTAAAACTCTGCTGTATACCCATCCGGTCCTGGGCTTTTCTTAGTTGGTAGTCTTTTGATGGTTTCTTCTATTTCCTCAATTGATATTGGTCTGTTTAGGTTGTCTATATCCTCCTGACTCAATCTGGGCAGATCATATGACTTAAGAAATTTATCGATGCCTTCACTATCTTCTAATTTATTGTAGTATAAGGATTCAAAATAGTTTTTGATTATCTTCTGTATTTCTGAAGTGTCTGTTGTGATATTGCCTTTTTCATCCCGTATGCTGGTAATTTGAGTTCTCTCTCTTCTTCTCTTCGCTAGCATGGCTAAGGGTCTGTCGATTTTGTTTATTTTTTCAAAGAACCAACTTTTAGTTTTGTCAATTTTTTCAATTGTTTCTTTTGTTTCGATTTCATTAATTTCAGCTCTGATTTTCATTATTTCTTGCCTTTTACTTCTTTTGCTGTTGTTTTGCTCTTCTTTTTCTAGGATTTTGAGATGAAGTATGAGATCATTTATTTGTTGGTTTTTTTCTTTTTTTAAGGAATTAACTCCAAGCAATGAATTTTCCTCTTAGAACTGCTTTCAATGTGTCCCATAGATTCCGATATGTTGTGTCTGTGTTTTCATTTATCTCTAAGAATTTTTTAATTTCCTCCTTGATGTCTTCTATAACCCATTGATCATTCAGTAACCTATTGTTCATTCTCCAAGTGATGTATGCTTTTTCCTTCCTTCTTTTATCGTTGATTTTCAGTTTCATTCCATTATGATCAGATAAGATGCATGGTATTATCTCTACTCCTTTATATTGTCTAAGAGTTGCCCTGTGACATAGTATATGATCTATTTTTGAGAAGGATCCATGTGCTGCTGAGAAAAAAGTGTAACTGCTTGATGTTGGGTGGTATACTCTATATATGTCAATTAAGTCTAGGTTATTAATTGTGTTATTGAGTTCTATAGTTTCCTTATTCAACTTTTGTTTGGAAGATCTGTCCAGTGGCGAGAGAGGTGTGTTGAAGTCTCCCATGATTATTGTATGGTGGTCTATTAGACTCTTGAACTTGAGAAGAGTTTGTTTGATGAACATAGCTGCACCATTGTTTGGGGCATATATATTTATGATTGTTATGTCTTGTTGGTGTATGGTTCCCTTGAGCGGTATGTAGTGTCCCTCTTTATCCCTTTTGATTAACTTTGGCTTGAAATCTATTTTATTTGATATGAGTATGGACACTCCTGCTTGTTTCCGAAGTCCATATGAGTGATATGATTTTTCCCAACCTTTCACCTTCAGCCTATGTATGTCTTTTCCTATCAAATGCGTCTCCTGTAGGCAGCATATTGTTGGGTCTTGTTTTGTGATCCATTCTACTAGCCTGTGTCTCTTGATTGGTGAGTTTAAGCCATTAACATTTAGGGTTATTATTGAGATATGGGTTGTTCTTCCAGCCATATTTGTTTATTTATGTTACTAAACATGGTTTGTTTTCCTCTTTGATTATTTTCCCCCCTTTAGTGTCCTACCTCCCACTGTTGGTTTTCATTGTTATTTTCCATTTCCTCTTCCTGTAATGTTTTGCCAAGGATGTTTTGAAGAGATGGTTTTCTAGCTGCGAATTCTTTAAACTTTTGTTTATCGTGGAAGGTTTTAATTTCATCTTCCATCCTGAAGCTTAATTTCGCTGGATACACAATTCTTGGTTGGAACCCATTTTCTTTCAGTGTTTGAAATATGTTATTCCAGGATCTTCTAGCTTTCAGAGTCTGTGTTGAAAGATCAGCTGTTATCCTGATTGGCTTGCCCCTAAATGTAATCTGCTTCCTTTCTCTTGTAGCTTTTAAAATTCTCTCCTTATTCTGTATGTTGGGCATCTTCATTATAATGTGTCTAGGTGTGGGTCTCTTATGATTTTGCACATTCGGCGTCCTGTAGGCTTCTAGGATTTGGGGTTCTGTCTCATTCTTCAAGTCTGGGAAGTTTTCTCGTATTATTTCATTGAACAGATTGCTCATTCCTTTGGTTTGAAACTCTGTCCCTTCCTGTATCCCAATGACTCTTTAAGTCTGGTCTCTTTATGTTATCCCATATTTCTTGGATGTTCTGCTCATGGTTTCTTAACAGTCTTGCTGAGCTGTCTATGTTCTTTTCGAGTTGAAATACTTTATCTTCATTGTCTGATGTTCTGTCTTCTAAGTGTTCTACTCTGCTGGTAGTATTCTCCATTGAGTTTTTAAGTTGGCTTATTGCTTCCTGCATTTCTAGGATTTCTGTTTGTTTGTTTTTTATAACCTCTATTTCCCTGTATAGTTGATCTATTGCTTCTTGGATTTGTTTATGTAATTCATTGTTGAAGTGATCTTTCATTGTCTGATTTTGCTGTCTGATGTCTTCCTTGAGACTCCAGATCATCTGAAGCATGTATATCCTGAATTCTTTATCTGACATTCCATCTGCTGCAGCTATTACCTCTTCTAACGTTGAGTTGACCTGCAATGCTTATGGTCCTTTCTTTCCTTGTCTCTTCATACTGTTCGCGTTCCTTTCTACTTGGTGAAACTGTTGTGCTATTGAATTTTCCCCCTATATATTTATATTGGTCTTGTATGGTTGCAAAGTCTCCCTCGCAGGCGCGGGCGGCGGCTCTGTCCCTCTGCGGGCCGCTAGGCTTGTTCTGTCGGTGGTCACAGTTCTGTCTACTTTGTAGGCGCAGGCAGTGGCACTGCCCCTCTGCAGGCCTCTGGGGCTGTACTGCCAGTGGGTCGCAGGTCCGCCTACCTTGCAGGCGCAGGGGGGGGCGGCTCTACCCTTCCTCAGGCCACTGGGCCTGTTCTGTCTCTTGGTTGTGTTTGTCCTTTTGGGGGGGTGTGGGGGCAGGATTGAAGCCAGGGGCACTTAACCCCTGAGCAACATCCCGGCCCTTTCTATGTTCTCATTTGGGGACAGGGCCTCTCTAAGCTGCTTCGGCCCTCACTAAGCCGCTGAGCCTGGCTTTGGACTTCACTGCTCCTACCTCATCCTCCTGAGCTGCCTAATGTGTCCCTTTTTAAATGAGAAACTGTCCTACACGTTCTTAACGAGGAGGGTAACGCATTTTCCCAACGATTCAAAACGGCCAGCTTCTTCCCGAGACACACGATGAAGTCCTCATTTGTCAAGGGAGCAGGGCACGGACCTCAGTGTGTCCCCCTAAGGCCATGTGGCCCACGTTCCTCCCCCCCCCCCCCGCTCCTGCTGTCTGCATGTTTCCATGTGGCCACGCTGCTGTGCTGGTCAGTGAGAGGTCAGCTAAAGGGCAGGGGCCTTCCCACCAGCCTCCTCACGCACCACGCGCGTTCACAGTACCTTTATGAGGTTTTCTGCAGGAGCAAAGAAGTCGTCTGTTGAAAATAAAATCTAGACAAAGGGAAGTGAAGATAAAATAGTGTGAATTTAAAAACGTTCTATTTGATTCCCAGTGAAGCATTATGAGATGCAGGGGATGTGGACTGGCCCAGGGAGGAGGCTCCGCAGGCAGTAACCCTGCTGCTGTCCCAACCTTTCCTCTTGATCCCTTTACCATCTGGACCTCGCACTTGGGAAGCAAATAGACCAGCTCCTTCTTTTCAAGAACTCAGAACCTTGGGTTTTGTGGCTTTTTCCAACAGCAAGGGCAGTAGGTCTATATGCCACCCGGGGTCACACCTGTGCTCTGGTGGCCACAGTTTTCTCCCATGGGACTCCAGGAAGTCACCCTCCAGGGAAACTGTCCAGGCGTGTGTCAGCAAGCTGCACGTTTCTGCCGGAGAAAGGGGTGCACCCAGCTGGGCCCCATGAGCACAGGTGGAAGCCGGGTTTTCTGGAGGAGCCTGTGGTCCCAGCAGCCTGTGGGGAGGTGCCCGGGCTCTGGCTGCAGCCAGGAACCCAAGGGCCAGGGAGGACCCAGCTCTCCTGGTGCTGCCGGCTTCCTGGCGGCTCCCTGGCCCCTGAGTGGGCTCTTGGAGCATCTCTTGCTGATGGGCCCTGTGGATGCCCCACTGCAAACGCCAGCCAGCTGCAGCGGAGTCCATGTGCTCCACCACCCTGTCCTCGGTGTGGTCACAGCACTGGCTGGGACTTCCCAAGCCTCTCCTTGTAGGACAACCTTCCTGGGAGGCCCCTCTGCCCATGGCAGGGACCTTCTCCTTCGCATCGTAGCAAGCTTCCGGGATAGAATCATGCCGCACCTAAGCTGAAGGGCCACCACGCGTTCTGAATTGGCCCACAGAGGAGAGTGGGTCCCCTCCACAAGGGCAAGGGGCCTTTTTGAGCATTAAGGCTGGGCCGTCCCTGTTCAGGACTGCCTCCGTTAAGTAAATTTGTGGAAGCAGGGAGGTGCTCCCTGGGCGGGCACCCGTCGCCCTGATTGCTGGTGCTAATTCAGCTCTCTGCCCTGGGGGGGGGACCCCCAACCTGCGTGCAGGAAACCCTGGCTGCTCCCTGAAGCCCTGCTTACCTTTCCTCCCACGGACTCGGAGGCCATGTCCACCAGCTGGGCAAAGTCCAGGAATCGGGTCAGTTTCCCCTCCTTCGAAGCATCAGCCATGCTTCCTAGAAGCGAGAAGGCAGGCACAGTGGGCCTCTGCCGGCGGAAGGGCCGCGGGTCTGCCGGCAGGAGGACCCCAGCCAGGCTCCCAAAACCAAGCTCAGAGACATCAAAGGTGAGGCGGTGACAGAGCTGGGCTTACTGTCACCTGGGCGGGCATGAGTGTCTTTGTATGAGCCCGCCAGAGGAGGGCGTGAGAGAGGGCTTGCTTTGAGTCAAGGGCCACCAGACACACAGTCCCACCACTGCAAACCTGCAGCTTGTGTCGTGATTAAAGCAGAGAAGTCATTCTCACCTAGAAAAGCCACTTTTACCAGTCTGTGGGTGCTTTCAAAACACCACCCAGCAACTAGGTGACCAGGCCTGGCTAGCAATGGGGCAGAGCCGAGGACACCCCTCTGCCCACAGGAGCACCCCATGCAGGACGGACACCACACAGGGGCTCAGAGACAGGACCTCGGAGCTCTCTCCTTGCAGGACTCAGGACTGTGCCGGCATCACCAGGGGTCAACAGGGAACCTAGGCCAATCCCAGCACCAGAAGAAACAGAGAACTGAAGGAGGCTAGGAGGCCCCAGACTGTACCCCTCAGCCAGTGGGTGCCTTGTGCTCCTCCCCTTTCTTCTGCTCCTCATGGAGAAAACAGAAAGCCACATAAAAACCATGATTTCTATTAAGAATTATTCCTAGGATTAGGATGTCGGTCGGTGGTACAGTACTTGTCTCACAGGCATGAGATCCTGGGCCCAAGTCCCAGGACCACCAATAAAGAGAACGATTCTTATTCATAAAAGAATAAATGACAATAAATACAATCAGCAGGTGGATTTTTCTTGAAATTGCAGAAACACAATTAATCATAAAATGTTGAGCTTCCTATGAAACACTGTGTTTAACAGACATTCCCAGCATCTGTTCTGAAGGAGAACAGAATGGGTGATCCAAAGAGTGATTTGGTGACATGGCACCTGAGAAGGGGTGCAGTCTCCCTCCTAAGCAGCAGACTCGCATTCTGTCCACCAACTGGAAACCTCTCCCTTGGATGTCTAATCAAATGTCAGAGCTGAAGTGTCCGACTCTCAGCTGCTGCTGGTCCCAAAGGGGCCCCACCCTCAGCCTCCACACCCCAGCTAGTGGCCACCCCTCCTGCAGCCACTGGAGCAGAGCCCTGGGGTCAGTCTCGCCTGCCCTCTGTGGCGAAGTCGCACAGACTTTCAGTCTGGATCCTGACGCTGGGAATGACACGGTGTCTGAAACTCCCTTTCCTCTGAGAAGGTGGGAGGTGGGAAGGGCGTGGGCCAGACACAGCTGGCCTCGTGTGGACGTGGCGCTGCAGCAGGCCGGCAGGCTGGTGCAGGTCTGTGCACTGGAGTGTGGTTTCCTGCTCTGGATGTGTTTGCCGTCTTTCCACATCACGCACGGCCACCACGAGGAGCCGGGGGGACAGCACCCTCGCCACCCCTCGGTGGCCTCCTGCGGCCACCCTCCCTCTGCAGTCTGCTCTCGGCCCAGCACCCTCAGGGATCTTTCAGAAACAGTCAGCTGCTCGGACCCTCTCCATCAGCACGCCTGGTCTCCCGTGCCTTCCACCACCCCTGCTGCCTCTCCCTCCCTGGCCACAGGCATGCTCCACATCAAGCCCCTCCTCAGGCTACCTCAACTCTGTGACTTCACAGTGGCCGTTCCCTGTGCTGAGAAGGCTCTTCCTGCCAGCCTGTGACCTGCTCACTCCCTCGGAGCCTCTGCTGGACTCACCTCCCCATGAGGCTGGGTGCCCCCACTCAGTGCCGTGCCCACCGCCCCAGCCTCCAGGGCCCCTGCCAGACCCACCATTAGGTAGGCACACAGGGTGACTTGCTGTCTGCAACCTCTGTTCCCTGACTTTCCAGATTCAGTGCCTGGCCTCCAGGGCAGTCTTGCCTGCTCTGTGTCCCCACTGTGTCCCCAGGGACACACAAGAGGCTCCCACATGTTTGCTCAGAGGGTGGATGGGTTTCACAACACTGGCTCTGGGGAAACCCTTGCTGAGGGGTGGAGAGGTGCAGGCTGAGAGAGACACCCACATGTACTGCGTGTGCAGCTGTCACCACGCGTGTGTGCCTGTCACCAGGCCTGCGCGGCTGTCACGTGTGTGCACAGTTGCCCTTCACGGTCTCATCTCACTTGAATCCTCAGAACCTGCGACATTATTAGTATAGTACTGGTCACCCCTTGCTAACGAAGAAGACACAGCTCTGGGGGTTCAAGTGACCTGACTCAGCCCACAGCTGAGGAGCAAAGACCAGTCAAACGTGACCGGCACCGGACGCCCTTACAGTGCTGGCAATGGTGAGCGCTGTCGGTGCTCCTTAAACAACAACTTCACTGACTGTGGTGAAGTGGCACCCTCCTCCACAGAAGCCTTCACTGGGCTGCTCCAGAAATCTCCGCCATGGCTGATGTTAGGACTCTCAGCAAAAGAGTCTCTGCAAAAGAGTTCCATGTAGACAAACTGCCTATTTTCGTGTCGCCCTGTTTCACTTGGCCACTGGCCAGGAAGAAATGGGCACTCTGGGTGCTGGACACCCCCTTACTAGTTTTTCACAAACGTGTGTCCAGTTCAGTAGTTTGTAGAAGTGTGCAAACCAGGCCTCTGGCCTTGAGCTGGGCTCCACAGAGATGTCTAATTTCCAAGATAAGAGAAGTCACAACTGGGCCCCATGGTAACAGCTGGCAGGGGAGGAGAGAGGGGGAGAAGAAGCTCTGCCCTTCTCGGGTGCCCTTGAAGGGTTAACTTGCCCAGAACAGTGAAGGAAAAAGCTGCTTTATGTGAACTTCTGCAGACTGGGACCTTGTGAGCCCCTCCCCTTACAGGTTGGGTATAAAACTCTGAAACTCCCTGAACTCGGGGTTCAGGGGATTGATTACAGCAGAAGCTGTGCCCCCTGAGCCTGGCTGCAGCCACATAAAACTGTCTCCTGCTGTCTTCGGTGCCTTGCCTCGTCTGTCCCTGCAACAGTGGGTCTGTGGCTCCAGAGCTCCCAGAATCAGACCCAGTGACACCAACTGGGGGAGGACACAGACATGGAAGCTGTGAAGGTGACCACTTGTGGAAATGCAGGGACAGGGCATGCTCAAGGCACAATGGCCGCTGAGCACACACCCAGGGGACTTCGGAGGCTCAGGAATCGCCCTTGAAGAGTGGCTTGGAATGAGAGGAGGAGCAGGGCAGGCGGCAGCAGCAGACACAGAGGTGCACAGGTAAAGGGGCCCCAGGATGAGAGCTGTGTGACAGCCTGTGTCTGCCCCTGCATCATCCCACGGGAAGCCACCAGCTCACATGGAGAGTTGACAAGCCTAAGCAATTAAAATTAATTAACACAACTTCTAATCCTGTCCCTCCTTGGTTCTAGTCACCTCTCACATTCTCAGTGGCCACATGTGGCCTCTACACTGGACAGCCGGGTGTAGGACATGCCCGTGACCACAGTGTGGGGCATTCTGAGAGAGTTCTGGAAAGACAGGTGCAGAGCCCCCACCAGTCACTTGCAGGGGAAACAGAATCAGAAGCAGCAGGAAACCACAACACAGACACAGCCTGCGTGGACTCTGGGAATGACACTACTGCAAGAAGAGGATTCAAGATGGCGGGCTAGAGGAGACTGCATTCCTCATCATTCCATAGCTCCACCAGCGGAGGACTGCTTCTCTGTGAGGTGGGTGAAGGAGGAATTTACTAAAACTAATATTGGACAGTCAGAGTGTCTTAGAGACTCTGACATTTAGGTACATTAAGCCAAGAAGAAAGACTCCCTCGGAGCCAAGCCAGCTGCAGCAGGGGTAGCAGCTCTGGCCATCACAGAGGGAGAAAGAACACAGAAAAACCCAACGGACAGATTAAGTCCAGAAAATCCTGGGGTCAGAAAAGCAGCCTGCCCTTAGCTGATCCAGAGGCTGCAATGTGCACTGGGCATGAAAAGAGCCCTGAATTCCCAACTGGCCTGGAGAACTGAGGCAGGAGCCACCTTAAGGTGGCCATGCTGCACCTGCTGAGCTGCAGGAGCCTGGAGATCTGAGCAAACACCACCACACCGTCCTGACAAGCACCTGCCACAAGGCCTAGCAGAATAGGAGTAAAACAAGCAGGGAGCCCATTTTCTCCGGGGGATTCAAGTCGGGAAAGCAAAGAGAAGTTCAACTCACTTACCTCTTGGAGTCCGGCAGCTCACGTGACCAGCTCACGTGAACAGGTGGGTGTGAGTACACTCGAGGGCTGAGCCTGGGAAGCCTGGCAAGGCTGTGATTGCCGTGGCAGAGAGGGTGAAGGATTGGCTCTCCTGACCCACTAGCAGAATCCTAGGGAGACTCCGGAGGTCCAGACTCCCAGCAGAGACTAGAACTTCCAGGCCCTGGAGGTGTGTTGATCTAATCTCTCCAGAGCAGAAACCACCCAGCAAAGACTGTGAGGCTGATTAGGCCTAAGCCCCAGCTGCTGGGACTCGGCTCATAGACCCTGCAGCAGCCCCTCCCTGGGAGTGCACACTGACCTCGTCTGTGTGGACAGAACTCCACCTGCCAGCACATCCCATCCCATCCTACCTCATCTGGGGAGAAGAGAAGCTGAGAATTATATGAAACAGCGTCAATCTTAGGCCACTCTAACTGGAAGCTTGGTGAGTGACACAAAAAGAGAAAGGGGTTAATGACCCCAGCCCTTGCTCTTGCTCACAGTACAGAGCTCAAGAAGAAATGGAATGACAGTCAGGCGTGGGCAGTGACCATCTATTCTCATCAACTATTTTGACCACCTCGGGGCAGATAATTCCTTCATTTTTCATTAAGAATCGTTTGGTGGGGTTAGTTTGTTTTTGTGTGTGTCTTTGTTGTGCTGACTAGTTTACACATACATAAACATATTTGTTTCTTTTTTCTCATTTTTAGCATTTTTGAACTGTAGTGACTTTTCCTTGCCTTGTCTTTTGAGGGTTAGGGTTTTGATTAGTGCATTTGGCTTTGCTTTGTGTTGTTTCTCATTTGTCTCTCTCCTGCCAACAGCCAAGCCTCTTGTGATTGCGGCAGCAGAGAGGGTGAAGGATTGGCTCCCCTGACCCACTCTCCCTTCACTTCATTACTTCTAGGATTTTTCTTCCCCGGCCCCGTCCCACCCCACCTCCTCCTTCCGCCCGCCTGCATGCCAAGCCGGGGCAGCGCGGCACCCCCGGGGGCGCGCGCTGCAGCGACCGGCGGGCGAACTGGGAAGCCGTCCACAGTCGTCCCGAGCGCGGCGCGTCCCGCCCCAGAAGCGCCAGGGTGGAGAGCACGTCGGCCAGGCTCTGGGAGCGCCTTTGAGCTGCACCTCCGACTCCGGACTGGAGTCGCGGGCCGCCCCACGGGCCTCAGAGGGCCCGTGGTGCGCACCGACCGCGAGGGGACGGCGCCTCCCCTCCACTGGTGCGCGTTCCTCCGTCCCCAGCGCTTGGCCGGCAGCTCTGGAGCCCACGAAGCCGGACAGACCAGAACCCAGCGGAAACCGCGGCGCACCCCGCGCCGCCGACTTCCGGGAACGGAGGAGAGCAGGCCCCGCCCCACGGGCGTATACGCCATCTCCCCGCGTCGCCGCCGGAAGTGGGCTCGTGGGCGCGCCGGGGCCGGGAGAGCGAGGCGGCTGCGGGCGCGGGCCTGAGTGATGCGCGGGCTGCTACCTCTAGCCGGCAGAATAGTTCTGGTCGCGCTGCGCGGGGGCCGCGGCTGCTGCGGGCTCGGAATGTTCTACGCCGTGCGCAGGGGCCGCAGGACCGGCGTCTTCCTCACCTGGTGAGTGGGCGCGTCGGCCTGTGCGGACCCCGCAGGCGGCTTTGGGGCGGCCGGGCCTCCCTGGGGCCTGTGTTGCGGACGGGCTCCCCGCGGGAGGCGCGGAGCCCCGGCAGCACCGCCAGCGTCGCCAGCACAGGTTCCCTGTTCCGACGGGGCCGGAATTTGGGCGATCTCCGGGGGGTCCGCGGAGGGGCCTTTGCGGTGGGCCGGGTCGCGGTCGTGACTCGAGCGCGCTCCCTGGGGGGTGGGTCCCCGTTGTCGGGAGCTCCGGGGCAGGGGCGTGGCAGAAGCTGGACCGGACCCTCCCCTCCGCGGTATCAGGTTTTGTCGTCGGTGTGCACACGTGTACTCCCCGTGCCTGGCCGCGACAGCAGAGAGGAAGAAGCACCTCAGATGTCCGCCCGTTTTGTTGCCATACAGTGATTAGTCGACCTTTGTATGTCAAAGACCCCCAACTTGTTATGCTCTGAGTTTGAGGAAAGCCAATGGGGCCGCCGCACCGTCCGCCTGGGGGACAGCAGGGCAGGGATGTGGAATGTGACACGCCAGGGAACACTACAAGCTGTAGGGTGTGACATTTGCCCCCAGGAGCTGGCAGCCCGTCCTTTCTCACAGTTTCCCACCTAAGAGGAGTCTTCATTAAAAGGGGGTAGTTGGACAGGGAGGGAGGTTGGAAATGACCTGCCTCCCTTTTCCAGGAATGAATGCAAGGCGCAGGTGGACAGGTTTCCTGCTGCCCGGTTTAAGAAGTTTGCCAGTGAAGATGAGGCCTGGGCCTTTGTCAGAAACTCCGTGAGCCCGGATGGTGAAGGTACTCGCCTGTCGTCTGAGTGTGGTATTTTAGCCCATTCAGAGCCTTCACAGCCAGAGGTCATTGGATCTGTGCATGAGGAGGCTCTGCAATCTCATTTTTTCCCCTGCTGTACAGATTAAAGAGTAGTGCTCATGTCAGTAATAGTGTTAGACACACCAGGACTCTCATCTCTTTTTGCATTCAGTTTATCACTAGGTCATAATTCTTTTTTTTTTTTTTTGGTACCAGGGGATTGAACCTAGGGGTTCTTAACCACTGAGACACATCCCCAACCCTTTTTATTTTTATTTTTTTAATTTTGAGGAAGGGTCTTGCTAAGTGCTGAGAGTGGCTTTGAACTTGTGAGCCTCCTGCCTAAGCCCCCTGAGCCACTGGGACTACAGGTGTGCACCACCATGCTTGGCATAATTTCTTTCTTTTAAAAAAGTACTTGTACTGTTACTGGACCTAGAAGGCTATGTTTTTAAAGGATAGAATGTGATTTCCCTCCACAGCATATGTGTATATGGTGTTTTTATTTGGAACAGAGTCATGCAATTTGAATTTCTTTCAATTTCATGTGTTACAGAAAGTATTGAAAGTTAGGCCTAATATAAGGGACATAAGATTTGCAACTCTGATATACATGACTGAGATAAACAGAGTGACTCTGATTTAGAGCACAAGATTAAAAAAATATATTTGGGCTGGGACATACTTAATGGTAGAGCATTTACTGAAGACACATTTGTGTGTGCACGTGTGGTGGTAAATGGCGTGTGAACCTACCTTGAGGAAGTAGGGTTTTGAGTACTTGCAGACTTTACAGGAGAGTTAAGACTGAGCAGAGCCTAATAAGCTCATATGCTCTTTTTTTAAAAAAAAAAAAAAAAAAAGAGAGAGTGGGAGAGAGAGAGAATTTTTTAATATTTATTTTTTAGTTCTCGGCGGACACAACATCTTTGTTTGTATGTGGTGCTGAGGATCGAACCCGGGCAGCATGCATGCCAGGCGAGCGCGCTACTGCTTGAGCCACATCCAATTATTCACATCTCAGTTCTTCCAGTGTACATATATTCCTGTCTATGAATCTGCTTTCCTAAAAGCTTACAGAGACCTCATAGTGGCTTAGGTTTATAAATTGAGATTTTAGCACTTTTAATGTTTAGGATCTATATCAAATAAAAACATTAGCCCCCTTTCTAGTTTTTTCTCTTATCCTCATTTTGGAATTTTTGATCTGTTGTATGGCTTATATAAGCTAATTTACTTAAAGAAAAACACACTTTTGTGAAGTAAAAATTACCTGATAACTGTGGTTTTCCCATCTTTCAAAGACTTGTCTGCTCTTTAAAAACTTTCAGTTCAACTAAACTCTGTTGTAGTAAATAAACCGTATTTGTATCAATATCAAAATTCTACAAAACTGCCCTTTGATCTGTACCTGTGTGTTTGCATTTACTTCTGTAGAGTACATTTGAGGTAAATAAAGAGGCACCGAGGTGGTGGGTGGAAATGCCCCCTTGCCTCACTCAGATTCCCAGTTGCCTGGACATTGGAGAGGCCTGGCAGGAAGCTGCTGGAGGCACGGGTGTGGTCTCGCAGCTGTTCAGCAGACGCCTGGTGGGTGTCAGTGCCCTGTTCCTCCATCCCTGGCATAAGAGTTTAGAGCTAAAGGTCAGTTCTGTGGTTTGGGTTAAGGTTGCTGTTGTGGAGATGTTAGTTATATTAGTTGCTCCTTCTGTACCTCTGTTCCCACTCCATAAAATGATACCGAGGGAGAGTTGCCTCAGATCAGCGTTTTACAGAAGCCTAGAGGGTCAGGGTCGATGTCAGCTGCCCATGTTCTCAGCCAGTGAAAGTGGAGCTGCCCTTGAAACACTTGTTCGTGAGTCTTTCTCATTCAGCTTGTGCTTGGGGAAAGGGGACTGAGATCCTGGCTGTCCAGTTATCCCCGAGGTGGTGTTTGAGATTCCTTTGGCTTTAACCCCGGGTCCACCTGAAGAGAAACTACAATAGTAGTTGGCTTGTTTCCTGATGTGTCCAATTGCCTGGTTGTTTATGCTTGACCCACACCCCCTTAGCCTCCCTAGAGGTTCTTAGTGTGGAGTTCATGTAATGGCAATATTTGGGGCAGCGAGGGGGCTGATCTTATGTTCAAATTTGGGTCCTTGTTTTCCTGGATAAGAGTCCCTCAAATTTTCACATTGTCATCCCTAACTGGTGTGTCTGTTATGTCCATCAAAACCAGGTTTTTCCACAGAAGCTCTTCTATTGTCTTCACAATGCTCTTATCAAGCTCACCTTGGAGAGTTGAGAATTATTTCACAGGACTCAAAATCTGAGATGACCCGGGCATGGTGGTGCATGCCTGTAATCCCAGCGGCTTGGGAGGCTGAGGCAGGAGCATTAGGAGTTCAAAGCCAGCCTCAGCAACTTAGCAAGGCCCTAAACAACTCAGTGAGACGTGTCTCAAAATATAGGAAAGGACTGGGAATGTGGCTCAGTGGTTAAGTGCCCTGGGTTCAATCCCAGTGCCAAAAAAAAACCCCAAAAGAATCTGAGATGATGTGTTCCAAGTCATTCCCTCTTTGTAGGGCTGTTCAAAGGGTGTGATAGTAAATAACTTGCCAGAATTCTTGATTCTTGAGTAGTACATTTTATGCTCATTGTTTCTATCTCATGAATAGGCTCTTGTCTTCCAGAGCAAAAAAATACTCATGCACAGGAGTCACAGGTGAAAGTCAGCAAGCGTCTCAGAGAGCCCTTAGATGACCATGAAGAAGAGGTCTCAGAGCCGAGTGCGAAGTATGTGCGAAAGAACACAGAGCCAGCCCCTGCCCTTGGCAAGGACACATTTTCTTACATGGCTATGTGTTTTAGTCAGGTTCTCACCACGGTGACCAAAAGACCTGACAAGTAATGCAGAGGAGGAAAACTGTTTTGGCTTTTGGTTTCTGAGGTTGCAGTTCATCGACAGGCAACACCATTGCTTTGGGCCTGAGATGAGGCAGGACATGAAGACAGAGGGAGTAGTGGAGGAGAACTGTCAGGACACGGCAACAGGAAGCAGGCAACAGGAAGCAGAGAACGTTCTGCTTACCAGGGACAAGAGATAAGCCCCAAAGGTATGCCCTCAGGGACCTACCTCCCCAGCCACAGCCTCCTGCCTGTCTGGATTAGTCCACGGTGGGGTTACAGTGGTCATCCTCTAATCATTTCACCTCTGAACCTGTTTGCATTGTCTCACGTGAGCATTTGGGGGATACCTCCTATCTAAACCGTAGAGTACATCTTCCTTGGGTTTTTAAAAATATAACAATCTAGAAACCATGAAAACTTTGCTCAATCTCTAAATGAGAGAAATCTGAGCTGATGTTTATCCTCATTGTTTTCCATACAGCATATATAGAATTCTCTAAGGTTACCATTTTATAATTGATGAAGTCATGCAGAATTATTAAACTTTTAGGTATTCTTAGGAAAACCATTATGTAGACCGCAAATGACATTGTAATGTTTGAAAGACCTGTAGTCCCTATGCACAGAGTGCTTTAGCTCTTCAGATGAGGAAGGCCTCAGCACAGCTGCCTTCCACCCTCAGTCAGCACCATTTTACCCTTGTGTTCAGTCTGGAGATTGTGTCTTATCCCTAGAAGCAAGGTGGTCATGAACTGTTTCTCTGCTTTAACTTCAGTCTCTTAGTGACAGTGTGTATATCTTCTTTAGTATAGGCGAACAGAAGGTAGAAATACCCAGCATTTTTATTTTTAAAATTTTATTTATTTTTTAACTGTGAATGGATATTTCATGTTTTATTTGTTTTTTTGTATGTGGTGCTGAGGATTGAATCCAGGGCCTCACACATGTCAGGCAAACGCTCCACCACTGAGCTACAAACCCATTCCTCAGCATTTTTTTTTTTTTTTTTTTTGTTCCTGGGGATTAAACTCAGGGGCACTCGACCACTGAGCCACATCCCTGCCAGGGTCTCACTGAGTTGCTTAGAGCTCACAGTTGCTGAGGCCGGCTTTGAATTCTCGAATCTCCTGTCTCAGCCTCCTGGGCCACTGGAATTGCAGGTGTGTGCCACCGAACCCAGCTCCTAGCATTTTTCATAACTCATCGAATTTGTAGGTTCTAACTTTCCCAGGAAGAAGCCATTTTATAGTTTGATTCAAGGGAAACAAATAGAAATGTTTTGTTGATCTGTATTTGTAGGTTAGTTTTATAGTTATTTAAAACAGTCAAAAAGGTGTACTTGATTTGCTTATTTGCTGCTTGGAAGTGAAACAGGTGTTTGTGGCATACCCGGGGTATGAGCTGTTCCCAGCATGCTCACCACTGCTTGAAGCTCGGTGGCCCCGACACAGCCTGGTGTGTGGTAGGTCTCTTCAGTGACTGCAGGCAGCTGTGGCTGTGTTGGCAGAGCTGAGATGCAGCTGGACTGAAGCGTCTTACCAGCCTGTGTTCTGCTGTCCCAGCATCGTTCCAGGAGCTGAGTCCCTGTGCTTCTGTAGCATCCTCCCACTGTGCCTCTGCTGTGCCTGCTCCACCCACTGTCCTGGACAAGGGCCTCCTGTGTGTGCCTCTCTGCTCCCCCTTCCTGTCCCTTAGTGCTGTGCAACCCAGCTTCTCCCACTGTGCTGCTGAGAGTGTGTTGCTGGCCACCAGAGGCCTGAGAGTGGCCTGGCCTTGTGTCCGTCCTTTCCTTCCTTGTTGTTCACAGCTTTGGCATGTTAATCCCACCCTCTGCCTTGATGAAAAGAAGCACGGTCAGGAGCAACAGTTCACTGTTACAAATGTCCTGCAAGAAAAATGAGACCAGCGTTTGTTAGAGGACTTGAGCTTCTGGCAGGCAGGGTCACCATGATGCCAAGGCCCTGCTCTCTCTAGAGTGATGGCTTGCTGAGAGTGACGGTGGCCCTGACATAGAGAAGGACGTTGCCGTTGTCTTTTGACCCTTTAGGGTAGGTTGTAAGTGGTAGGTCTCTGGAAGCAGGTTCTAGCTCTGCACTGTGACCACCTTGCCCTGTCCCTTGCCTGGTGTGTGAGACCAGGTGTGGTGTAGCATCTGCCCCACATAAGAAATTTGTGTTTCCCAGAGACTGCAGCATGTAGAACATCTTCTTAAAATGCTGACCTGACTTCAGAGACATTTGGTGTGAGTTTTGTTTTTTCCAAAATTTGATCCAGCTGTGTTTACTGTTTCCCTTACAGGAGACTCTGTGGTTGTCTACACCGATGGCTGCTGCTCCAGTAACGGGCGGAGGAGAGCACGAGCAGGAATTGGCGTCTACTGGGGGCCAGGCCACCCTTTGTAAGTAAACAGCTCAGTTTTTCAGCATCAGACTTTACTGAATCATATTCTAAAACTTGTGGAAAGACGCAGTAGATCTGGGTACTCATTGATTATTTGGAAACTTTGTCAGACAAACAGCTCTAGCAGGGGCTGATAGAAGAACAGAGCTTTGATTTTTATTGACACTGAACAGCTTTGTTCTTCAGAATGTCGAATGTAGAACCTGGGTGTTGCTGTGTCGGCCCTAACTCTTAGGCGTCTCTATCTCATGAGCTTTTACACCAGAAGGGCCTCCTGCCTCTTAGCTTAAATTAGATGGACCTCGCAGGGCTACCCAGGGAATGGCTGCTGGGCTTGGAACCCGTGTATCACTAGACCCTTTTGAAGCTGTGTGACCCAGCGGTGACCCTGGTATGTCAGCAGGCAAGGTGAAATGCTCTTGTTCAGACCTATCTCGCCTGTGGATGTGAAGGAACTGGAATGGAAGCTGAGCCCTGAAGTTCAGAGGAAAGAGGGACTTGGTCCCTCTAAAGCCGCCTGCACCAGCGCTCAACTTTGTTTTCCAGTATTTACAGGTACCCACAAGAGCCATGTGTAGGTGGCCAGATGCAGTGGTGCAAACCTGCAATCCCAGCACCTCAGGAGGCTGAGGTAGGAGGGTGGCAAGTACAAGGCCAGCAACTTAGTGAGACTCTGTCTCAAAATTAAAAATAGTCAGGACTGAGAATGTAGCTCAGAGGTAAAGTGCCCTTGGGTTTGATCCCCAGTAGCTCAAGGAAAAAAAAAGTTGGTTGTTAGGCATTTTTAATAATGATACCACTTTCCATTTCTTTCTAACTGTACAGTTCACAAAGTTCTTTCACTTTAACTTTTTGCTTAGCTTCAAACCCCTGTGGTGGAGAGTGGAAGCTGGTTTGGCACTAGGTTCTGGGGATTTTGTGCTGGCCCTAGACACCATGCTAATGCCTTTCAGTCCAGAAATTACACTTTGTCCTTGACTTCTGGTCCGGTGTTTCTTCTATGCCATATTATAGTGTCTTTCAACAAAGTGTTAGTGTTGTTGGTTTGATTTTTTTTTCTTAATATTTTTTTTTAGTTGTAGTTGGACACAATACACTTATTTAATTTATTTATTTATTTTTATGTGGTGCTGAGGATCAAACCAAGGGACTCGCACATGTGAGGCGAGTGCTCTACTGCTGAGCCATAACCCCAGCCCCATGTTGGTTTGATTTTTTTTAAAGGCTGTGTTTTTATATGAAGCTTTTATATCGTTTTTTTGTTTTGTTTTGTTTTGTTTTAACACATTAGCTCATTATTCGTTGGAGGGAATCACTTTTGAGAATCAGCATTATAAGTGTATTTTTAAAAATTCTGTTTTGAAACAGAAACATAGGCATTAGACTCCCCAGACGACAGACAAACCAAAGAGCAGAAATCCATGTAAGTTATCAGATAAATGTGAGTTTGTCATTTCTCAATATTGACCTTGAGCATGAAACTCATGTAAAGTTACCTGATACATGTGAGTCTGTCATCCCTCAGCAAGACTATGAGCATATCACTTACTACTGTTATCCATGTAGATAAGATATTCAATGTCCAGAAGAAACTTTGGGTTAGTAGCAATTCTGGAGAAACACTCTAAAATGTCATTTCAAGTCGGTGTCAACAGAATTATATGTTTAGCACTATTTCACATAAAGAATATAATCAAAAGTACATAGGAAGAAGGAACCCTTGTGTCATAGACCCTTTTGAACATGTGTGACCCAGAGGTGACCCTTGTATGTCCCAGTGTGAATCACTTTGAGCATGAGCTGTGTTGCCCGTTCTCTGTGGAGGATGACTGTGGCTTGTTTTTTCAAGGCAGCCTGCAAAGCCATCGAACAAGCCAAGGCTCAGAACATCAGTAAATTGGTTCTATATACGGACAGTATGTTCACTATAAATGGTAAGCCTTCATGTTTATTTCTTCCAGTAATTTTCCAGTCGCTCTGAGGGGAACTAGGCTTTTCTTTCCCTGGTGGGAGGTATTATAATAGGCTAAAATTAATAACAGGGATGACATTGGTGTGTCACAAGGAAAAGAGGGAGGTTTTGAAGCCCAAGTTCTGTCATGAAGTAGCTGTGGCTCTGCTGTCCTTGCAGTTGGAGTCTAGATGTGTGTAAGTAACTTAGGATCAAGGTGTGCTGGCTGCTTCTTGGAGAATGCCCGAGGGAAACTTCCTGGAGAAGGACGTCCTAAGCTGAGAGCTTCAGGTGAATGCAGTTAGAGGAATGGGGGAGATGGGTGTTTCTGGCATGTGCTGCAGGCCAAAGCACCTGGGGCCAACTGAGGAGGGGAGGAGTCCAGGATGACGGGTCAGAGCACAAGAGGCCCCGGAGGCAGGACAGGCAGGGCGGTGCAGGTGGAGGCCCAGTGAGCATACCTTCCCTAGGGATCACTAACTGGGTCCAAGGCTGGAAGAAGAATGGGTGGAAGACGAGTACGGGGAAGGAGGTGATCAACAAGGAGGACTTCGTGCAGCTGGAGGAGCTCACCCACAGCATGGACATTCAGTGGGTGAGTGCCTATTAGAATGTTCAATCTTGTGACTGTTGTGACCATGTGGTCCCTATTGGCTCGAGAGCAGTGGTTTACTTAAGAGATCGAGTGGTGCAGGTTAACAATTCCCACAAGGGTCATATCATGAGGTGTAATGAGTGCCTTTGATTCTCTCTATCTTTGCAGTGAACAGTGTTGCTAGGTGTAGGAAGTGCAGCAGTAAAAAATATTGCTGGAGGGCTGGAGCTGTGGCTCAGCGGTAGAGCGCTTACCTAGCATGTGTGAGGCCCTGGATCTGATCCTCAGCACCACATAAAAATAAGTAAATAAAAGTATTTTGTCCAACTACAACTAAAAAAATAAGTATTTAAAAAAATATAGCTTGATAAGGCCTTAGGAACATGGTCTTCTTTCCAAAAGGGAAATGTTTTTCTTATAGTTTTTTTTTTGGTTGGGGGTGGTACTATGGATTGAAACCAGGGGCACTTTACCACTGAGTTATAGTCACAGCTTTTTCTTGAACTCGCAATGCTCCCACCTTGCCTCCCCCTGGACATCGTGGGTACTGTTCAAGTGGAACGCGCTCGAGGAGCCCTCAGCGCTCTCCTCTGCAGTGGTGTTCGGCAGAGCTGGGTGGAGGCCCCGTCACACTTCCGCCCCTGGGCCAGGTCCACCACCACTCAAATCAGCCCAGGGCTTGGGCCCACTTCACCACCACCAGGGATGGGGGATCCTGTCTGCTCCCACTCCCAGCCATATCTCTGTGTTCCCACAGACACACCTGCCTGTCCTCTGTGGGGCTGGAAGCCTTTGTGACCCCACAGATGGCATCCTGGGGTCCACACCTGCCTCCCCTTCGTTCTGGCCACTCCACTGCTGTGGTGCTCAGCCTCTCTCTCAGCAGCATCCCAGCATCCCCCCGGGAGCTTCCCAGGCCCTCTGGGTGCCTCCCACCCCTGCCGTCCTCAGGCCTTGCCCTGGACTAAAGGAATGACTTGCCGACTTGCACGTGGGCTCAGGGCTAGTCGTGCAGGCCGCTCTCTCGTGGGGCCTCAGAGGTACAGAGGCTGTGCTAAGTGCCTTTGCTGCCACCAGGGACAGAAGAGGGTCATCCCCTGGTGCAGACAGAACAATTCTGTCCCACTGGGTTGAGCCAGGCAGGGAAGCTGAGCACCAGGGTTCCCAGCCTCAGTCCTGGGCACCACATGGTCAGAACAAACACACCGGGGGCCACGGATGTCCAGGAAACGACACACTGACCTCTCCAGGCAGGGCCCAGGCCTGCGAGTTGAGCTTCATGGGCACACTCAGCTCCTGAAGAGGTCTCACTGAGCTGGGCCGGGTGAGGCCAGCCACACTCAGAGCAGCAGAATCTCGGCTGACTTCAAGACAGGGGAAATAGTACACTGGTGTTTTAAGCCGCTAAGTTTTGAGATGAGTATTTTGTGCAGCAGAAGGGCTCACTGGAGAACGATGACACCTTTGGTCTGAGCCACAGCAGATGCACATCTCTGTGTGAGTCACCTGGTACCACAGAGAAGGCCACAGACAACTCCCGAGGGAGCCCTGCTGCCCGCGCCTCACCTTCAGGCACCACACAGGCAACCCGCGGCCTTGTCAGAGCTGAGGACAGCGTGCACAGTGTCGAAGGAGCGTCCCCCAGCGGGCACGGTGTGCATTGTGAACACTGAGAACATATATTTCCCTTTTCCTTTTCTTTCTGTGCCCCACAAGTTTAAGAAAACCCTGTTAAAATATTAGCTAAATCACTAAGCTAACAAAACACAGACTTCAGTGATCACATGAGACAAAACATACAGAGATCACCAAATTACTTTCCCAAGTCACTGAATGGAAGCAACCCACACTAGCAGCAGCAGCAGCAGCAAGCCTTGGGGGTGAGGAAAATCTGACAGAATATTAAAAATTTCTACTTTTCCATAGAAATTATTGAGCTTGCAAAGAAAGAAGAAAGTATGGCCAGAAATTAATAAAGAAAGAAATTAATTGAAAACATTCCTGAAGAATCCTGGGCATCGAACTTAGTGGACAAAGGCTTTAAACCACTATTTGCAAAATGTTCAAAGAGCTGAATGAAATCATGGGCAAAGGACACCAGAACCAGGAGGACCACATGTCACCAGGTATAAAATGTCACTGGAGAGACAGGAGCAAACAGACATTTTAGAGTCAAAAAGTAAAATGAAAAGCTTCCTGGGAAATTACCACAGCAGATCTGAGCAGAAAGAAGAAAAGACCAGGGCACAGGCATGCCAGTCTGAGGAGCTGAAGGAGAAGGGGAGGGATAAAGTGAGCAGGTCCAGGAGACCCTGTCTCCACTGAGCTGAGGGCAGGTGCATAGTGGGAGCCCCCCAGGGAGAGGAGAAGAGCAGGGGACAGAGTGTCCCAAATTGGAAGAAAGACATGAATCCACATGAACAAGGAGCTCAGCGAGCTCTCCTTAGGAAGAGTTCAGATAAACCCACAGCCACACATCGCAGTCTGACCGCCAAAGGCCAAGGCTGCCTCAGCACCTTCCCTTCCCCGAAGCGTCCATGAGCGCTCTCCACACACCTGTTAATGGCTTTGTAAAATATCAGAGCCATCCTAGTGGACATGAAGTGTACCTAATTTTTTTTATCTGCCTTCCTTTAATGACTAATGATGTTGAGCACTTTTTATGTATTTATTAAGAAAATGTCATAAACAGATGATTGGGGCAAAGCACCTCATCCTCTGATGGGGCCACTGTGAAAACACCCAAGTGGATGTAGGGGGAGTGGGGGGGGACGGTCCCGTTAGCCCCACACCTTCTCTGCACACACAGGAGCTGGGATCCTCTTCTCCTGCGGGCACAGTGGGTGGAGGAAGCTGAGTGGGAGCCCAGGAGGAAATCCCACGGGGGCTCCCGGGGGGTGCTGAGCTCCCAGGGTTTACTGTCAAATCAGAGGGCACTCCAGAAGCAGGTCTGCCTCTCTAGGAAGACAGGAGGAGGCCAGGATATCGCAAAATCAGGATGGGGAACTGGAATCTGAGAAGCAGTTCACACAATAAGGTGAAGAAAATGCAGAAAGTTGATAGAGATTTCAACATTACCAGAATTAGAATCTTCATTTGAGGCAATTAAAAGGGGCGGGGGGAAGCAGCCATAAATGGCACTACAGGAAATTGGCAGGAGGACAAGAAACAGGGAACCCTCTCCTTGAATTAACTGAAGGTGACGAAAAGTGAAGGTTGGGCTCATCTATGGAGAGTGGGGGAGAGACGGAGGCCCGTGGGAAAGTGAGCGGGCAGCTGAGAGAGGCCACAGACCTGTGAGAGGCAGTGGGGGGCTCAGCTGGACTCCAGGCCTCCCTGCCTCCTTGAGCATGTGGCTTTGGGGTTGCTACCCTCCTGGTGACCCTCTGGTCTATGATGGTCACACAGAGGACACTCCTTCTGACCAGCTTTTAATTCCTCCTCAGCCATTGCTCCAGCATTCAGTATTCACAAATGATTTTGGCCGATGTTACCCAAAGGGCACCACCTCTGTGACTCTGCATTTGGAAATCTCACTCCCTGACCTCTCCCTGCCTGGCCCTAGCGCCCTCCCCCAATGCACAGCGAGCTGTCTGCCCCCCATCAAGCCACTCCTCTCCCTCCCCAAGTTCCCCCTGTCCTTCCTGGGGCTGTAATCCAGCCTCAACCATTGCAGTCCACTCCCAACTTCCCTAAACTTTTGGACATTTGCCTGGTGGCTCCTAAACATCCCACCCTTCATCAGCTGCATTTCTGTGCCCATGCAACAAAAGAGAAGAAAAGGCAGAACCTGCTGACCAGACTTGCTTTGAAGTCCTGGTGCAGAGCTGGGTGCCCACTGGCTGCCAGGCCGGCCTGTGGTACAGCTTCCTTCTCCGATCTTCAGTGGATCTGATAGTGACCGTGGCCTGAGGTGTCCTGATGGAGTGATTCACTGAAACCTTCAGTGGTAAAATAGTTGTAAACCCTTCCAAAGAGTACTGGTGTGAAAGTGAGTGGATAGTTGGGGTGTTGTAGGAGCCTACCACCCACATGCCCCTGGGCGATGGAAATGGGGCTCCCCTCTGGTGGGATGGGCTGGCTGAGAAATAAAACCTAGGAGAAACAGCATGGCAAAATAACCACAGAACACAGAAAGTGTTCCAAAGCCGGTGGGGGTGGGGCAGGACGGGCAAGCTGACCAGGCGGGTCCAGCTTCTAACACACAAAGGAGTCCTTCTTTGCTTTATTTATATTGGAGAACATCAAAGGCTTTCCATAGACGGTTCTTCACCAAAATAGGATAAAGGTGGGGCAGGCAGGCTGCTCAGTTCCTAACTGGCTACACCCATCTCCCATGCTACTGTGCTGGACCTTCCTAACGCAGCACAGGGGAAGGTGACATGCATTAGGTGGTCTGTCTCCCTGGGGGAGCCACTGGAACTTCCCGGTGCCACACCTGTCAGATTGCTAAATCCAAGGGCCAATTCTAGACGCACTGCGTGCCCCTGTGGGTACCGAGGCTGGGGCACACCTGCCCTGAAGCCTCCTGCTGGACTCCTGTCTGCTTTTTTCACCTTCTGAGCAGATGCTTCTTCACCCCGTGTCCCTTCTTCCCAGTCACCCGGCCTCTGAAGAGCACCATGTGCCACCCACCCAACTTTTCCAGGTGTCTTCCACATGGCTGTGCGTCCCATCCCTGGGTGCCAACCTGCACCTCGAATCTCCCAAACTGATGTGCTAGCCCGTGTCCACTCCAAGTCCACATTTCCCACCTCTTCCTCATGTCCATGGGTTGCCCAAGTTTAGGTTTTGAGAAGATCCTTCTGTTAACATCATGGATTAAAAGAGGAATAAGAGCAGATTCAAAAAAGTCATTACAAAGCTAAGAGAATCCCATGCAACCAGGAGAAAGAACATGTGGTCGGAGTCATCATTAGTTTTTGAAAAGGTCATATTAGATCTCACTTCACTATAGAGCAAAATAAATCCTAGATACATTTGATAATAAAATAGAAAATAAAACCATCGGGGGCTGGGGTTATAGCTCAGTTGGTAGAGAGTTTGCCTTGCATGTGTGAGGCTCTGGTTTCGAGCCTCAGCAGGAAATAAAAACAAATAAATAAAGGGATATAGATATAGATAGATAGATATGACATTATAAAGAAAATGATCAAAACTCACATTTAGGAGTAGGCTGCATTCAAAAATACAATTTTATATTCATTTAAGAATTATTTTTTCCAGAGAATATTTAATAGCCCAGAAAGATAATATTAAATTAATTGAAACTAAAAGATGCAAACTTGTATGTTGCACTTTTGTATTCAATATTTTAATTTGTTTCTAAAAAAAATACACCAAAATGTATAAATATTTCTAGGTAAGTTGGGTTTTTAAATTTTTTTTCTATTTCTCTGAAGTGTTTTATATTTTTAATCAATGTTCACTTTACAACTGAAAATTCACATTATTTCCTAAGAGGGTAAATGACTTCTTATAGTATAAGGAATGATTACGCCAGGTAAGTATAAATTTTATTGATGAGCGTATCCTCGCATTATCTAGCCAGGCTAATGTACAGGTGATTGCTTCTGTTTTAAAGGAGACTAAGAAAAGTTGAGGCCAACTCCTGTGATGGACACTTAGCGGAGATTCATCAGGATTCAGATGAATGGAGAGCCCTGGATCAGGTGTCTGTTAGCTTTAGGATTTGGGGTACAGTGGCAAAGTCCCCAACAACGATTCTGTGGTCAAGGGTCGTGAACTAAGGAATGCTGTGGGGAAGTGGAAGTTCCCCACCTTTGAGAAACTCAGGTCTCACTCCAAAACCAGTCTGCACTCGGAACACAGGCTGCTACTCATCATGGTGTGGATTCATCCGTAGTAAAGACAGAATAAGATTGTTGCTTAGAATAAGATCATAAGGAAAATTCTACCAATAAGGAGATTGAATGTGGCTTTTCAAGGGCTTAGGTGGAGAGAATACTAACAGGTTTATTTTAGGTTACTCATATCTGAAAGAATGATTCCTCCTTGAAGCTGGGTCTGGGGCTCAGTGGTAGGGTGCTTGCCTAGCATGTTGGGGCACCGGGTTCGATCCTTAGCACCATGTATAAATAAGCAAAATAAAGGTCCATTAACAAATAAAAAAATGTTTAAAAAAGAGAATAATTCCTCCTTAAAGTGAACTCTTCAGAGCCCACTGCCTTTCCCACGTCCTGGGCAATAGGGAGCACGTGGACAGGTAAGGCAATCAGGAGGCTTTGGGATGGCCAGATAATAGCAGGCCAATTGTATGTTCTTCCTGATGGGACCAGCAACAGACAGCCATCGAAAACCAATAACAGGCCCCTTCCCCACCTGCAGAACCTCTGCTGAGTAGCTTAGAGATTCTGCCCACTGTGTCTGATGTCACCTCTTTCCTCCTGAGGAGAACACTGGCTCTGGGTCACTCTCCCAGGTCTAGCCTATTGCCCTGCCACAGATTATGTTCTGATGGATGTTAATGCCTGTTTACAGATCTGATCACCATGGCAACAGGGCCTTGGAAGTGAAAGGACATGATGCCTTTACATCCCAGTCCTCAGTAGTCCAGCATTCCTCCCTTCCACACTTGTCCCATGATGCACCCTGACGACTAACCACCCAGGCTTCTCAGCACCTGTTGACCAGGTCAGTTGGACAAGTTAAAAAGCTTTCCAAGGCCAGGAATTCTGATTTTTCAAAGCACAACTGCAACAGGAACTCTAGAAATAGAATTTAGGTAACTTGAAACTGCCAAGTACAGCATATTACCTAAAGTATGGTGTGGCCACTGTCACTTAAATGTGCTCCGGGTGGATGTATGTGTGTGTGTACATATATATGTATTTATATATTTTACTTTTATATATACTCACATATAGATAGATAGATAGATAGATACTTTATCGTGGACTTCAGGATAACTTTAGATCAAGATCTTTGATCAAGAAAAGACCGGGCAATATGCACACATAATAGAATTCTCTAAAATTATTTATTTAAAAACAGCTACAACAAAAAGAAATCTGTGGTTGGTTTGTTTATTTAATGGAAACTCAAATTCCAGGAGCATGAAAAACTTTAAGCCAAAACAAAAATCAATAAATTTAAAAAATGAAAGCAAACAAAAATTTTGGAAGTACAGACTTGGCTTCCCGAGGTGCTGCCCTGACCTAACTCACATCCTGTGACTCACTCCCCAATTACTGTGTCGGTCTTTCTGGTCCAAATTGCTGGGAGGAAGGGAAATGCCGAACAGACTTCCGAAGCAATTAAAGAAGAGAGTGAACAGAATCTTGTAAAAGACGTGCTTTAAGAAAGATGTGGTGTTCCTCATCTCTCTGTTCCTGTTTCACATCTGTGATCCCTTCTTGGAAAGAAGGTACATTTTTTTTCTCTAGTGGATAAAAAGATCTAAGCTACAATAACTGACCACGTGGAGGACGCCTGGTTGTCTTCCTGAGGCACTGAAGGCCGCAGTGGTCCCTGTGGAGATTGCTCGGCATTAACCCCTCTGGAGCCGGAGAGAACAGCTGGCTGCTCTCCTGGGCAGGAGACTCAGCCAGTGCACCCAGCATCCTTTCCTGAGGCCCCTCCCAGCTGGCCTCCAGGGAAGGCAGTCTGGAGACTGTGGAATGCAGCACGGCACCCACATCCATCAAAATACTTTTTGTGAAATAAGATAGGAAATTCTGAAGTGAAAGTTCAGATAAATTTTTCTCACTGATCTCCAATTTTAAATAGCCTCCTTATAATCCCTCAATTGATAGATTCCAGATATTACCACATGGGTTTTCCTCCAGATCTTCTTTCGTTGTATCATAGGTATGCCTTGTTTTAAAAGATCCTGAGAGGACCTCAGAAAATGCCGGAAACACTGACAGCAAGGAACCATCTTTTTTAGATAAAATATTTTCACATAGCTCTTTAAATAGAAATTATGAGTTTGCTCAACTTTTTTTTTTATTAGTTGCTCATGACAATACGATGATCTTGACATATCATACATTTGATTCAAATGGGGTATGAATTCTCATTTTTCCACATGTACAGATTGCAGGATCACATTGGTTATACAGCCACGTATATACATTCAGCAAATTTTGGAAGTTCAAGAGTTCCCTTAGATGCTGCTGTTTAACAAGGTACCTCCTGCCCGGCTCATGGCAAACCTTAATTCTTTAAACTAGATCTCCTCCGTGCCTGTAGCTGGTGCTTGGACATCTTAAAGTGACATTTTCAACATAACACATTTGGTATTTTTTTCAAAGCAGCTCTTCTATTACTAGAAAACTTAACTATCCTCTTCTAAACAGGATTTCAAATATTCAGTTCTTTCTGGCCGATTTCCTTACACAGCACCCCACAGATCCAGGGAAGAGAGAGACATGATCAGGGACCAGCGACTCCTGTGCTCAAGTCCTGCAGGGTCAGGTGGACTCGAGACAGAGCCTGTTTGGTCATGACCATGGCTGGCCGTGATCAAGGATCTGATCTCCTTTTTTACTTCTTAGCAGGTATAAGTGCAACAAATCATAAATCAGGTTGAGTTTACTAAAAAGCCCTGAAGACACATACTTGCACTCTTTGGACAGTGTGGTTTCCTTGCAGACCCGGGAATTCCAAACTGTTGGTAAGGCTTTCCATGAGCGATTTTTAAGGAGGAACCACACAGGATTCTGCCTTTGGATTTGGAGCCAGGCAGCCCCAGCCCTGCAGGCCACCCCCGTCAACAGAAGCGTCTGGGGCCTGGCCATGTGCATCTCCCAGCACCTGTCCCCATCCAGCAGAGCTGAGCAGCTACCAGGAAGGCCGGCCGTGGGGGGGCCTGGCACACAGCAGACTTGCCTCCCGAAGGTGCAGAAGGTGGTCCCAGAAGACCAAAGCCCTGAGCTCCTCCCCCCCAGTACAGGGTGCTCAGCATCCCGGCCCTGCCCGCCCACCCGCCTGCAGGAGCACAGCTCTGTCTCCCCTCTCTGGCGGGTTTCTTTCCCCTGTTACCACCCTAAATCACCGCGTGGCACAGCTTGTTCAGGGCCCCTGGCTTGTAGGTAGGTACTTTATAAATTAGAAGACTGTTGTCTGTCCAGAGAAGCATGTCCAAAAAGATACTCCAGGGAGATCAGACTGTTTATTAACTGTCGGCTCCTATGATGTTCATCGCTCCATGACTCCAGACCTAAAAAATATGCATTTTTAATAGACCATTTCCTACTAATGAACATGTCCATCTTAGAGGAAACGCTCTGTACTTTAAAATGATATGTGGTGAATCTTATGAATCCCTCAAAGAAACCGTGGTCCCTGTCCTCTGGATCATAATAGAGTTTGGGCATCAGCAGAATGATAGCTGACACTGTGGACTGACATGATGCACCAGGCTCTCTCCCAGGGGCCTTATTTCTACTCGTTGATTTAATCGGCCCTTATCAGAAGGTGGAGAGCGCTGTACAGTTGAGGTCTGCAGTTTAGGAAAGGGAAGGACAGAAAGCTTCTTGCCCAAGTTCACATGGCTAGTTCTAAGTGGCAAAGCCCTGAATGAAATCCGTATCCACAGCTCGATCATATTAACAACCTCTTAACATATCAGTTTCTTAGGAGTACAAGCATTCCAATTTAGATTTCACTAAAATATTGGATTGTGTGTTGCAACAGGGGAAAGACCATGGTGTTTGTAATTATAACTATAACGAAATAACACATATCTTGTGTTAGACACTTTATAACTGTTTGTACATGGTAACTAATTGATTCTCCTCAATAACCGTATGAGGTAGGTTCTATTGAAGAACAGGTAGGTTCTTCTCTGTGCCTTTTGTCCAATGAAGACATGAGTGAGGCTCAGAGAAATTAAGTAACTTGCACAAAGCTTCACAGCTGATAAGTGATGGGTGTGGAACTTGAGTCAGACGACCTGGTTGTTTTGACCACTTTATTTTCAGTGTTTCTTGAAAACAAAAAGGGTCTACTTCCTCAGTTTAAGTTAGGGTTTTTTGTTTCAGATCCTGTGCTTTAATTCCATTAGCATTTTTGTTAATCTAATGCATGTCTTTATTTGTACATCCGTTAAGCAATCAATAAATATCTAAGTGAATGACATCTGTGATGTGAGATTGTCATTTATGTCAAGGAATGTCACTGGAGAGCTAGTGGGTCTTTTGTTCAATGAGCCATTTCCTGTCAGCAGCGCCCCTCCTCACTGCATCTGGGTTTTGTACCCCCCTGGGAAGGAAGGGTCCTGGAAGCCCTCTGCTCTTGGGAGTCTGACTCAAGCACACATTCAGAACACAAGTAGCGCCCCCTGCAGGAGCAAGATGGGCAGGAAGGACCCCCTCCTCCCTGGGCTGTTTGCTTTCTTGATAAATACCTCTTCACTTCCTTTTGAAAGATGACTTTAAAAACAGAAATTTGGAAATGTCACAAGATTCATTAGATAAGCTCTCTTCCTAACAAATCACTTTAGACTCCAGGCAGCAGGAAAGCTTTAGTGAGACCAGCTTTCAAGACTGGAGACTTCAAGATGGTTTAGATAAGGCCTGAGCGAGCAGCCAAATGTCATGAACCGGAATTCCAAAGCCCTGAGTAATGATAATATTATTTAGCTCTGAGATGATTCCTTGCAGGCAGTAACCATGAATCACTGCGATCCTGCTGTGTGAGACGCAAATTTCAAGATTATCAGTTTATAGAGGCGAATGCTGAAGTCAGAGGCAAAGGGCACTTTCAGGGTCACAGCTGGGTTGGCCCACGCCAGAGTTTTGCATGTAGTTTTTCTGACTCTGTCCCTATCATATTCCACAAGACATCACCTTATTTTTGTGCCAAGTTTTTTTTAATGTAACCATCTGAATACACAAAGTCAGTCAAATGCTGCTTTGCAAATTCTCAGGCTGTTTATAGAAGACAGTGTGGACAGGAGTTAGAAGACAGGCGGATTCCTTAAACATGAACTGTTTACCCTCAGGGCTGGAGTCCCTTAGGGAAGAACAGAGAAGGGAGAGCTCAGGGGGAAAGCCCCGGGGTGCTGCCACCTGCCCAGGAGAAGGGATCCAGCAAGGAGAGGGCAAGAGAGTGGCTGGAGGAGGAGGGCACCTTAGCAATTGCCTTTGGGCCCGTGGGTAAGACGAATGGAGCTTGACCATGTGATTAGTCAATGTGGTGGCCTCAAGAAGGTCACTGTGCAGGCATGTGCTTAGTCCAGTGACCCTAAAAAGAGGTGTTCTTTTTAAAAAATAAGCATTTACTTAGCTTATGGGTTTACAGGTCCACACAGTAGGTGGGGTGGGGCTGGCAGTCCCCTGGCTGCCTGGCTTGCTCGTCTGCGGACTCCCAGCTGGGCATCAGGGTGGGCAGCTACGTGCAAACAGCGGTCCAGGCAGCTGTGAGGACACAGCCTGGAGTCCCCATCTCAGCCTTCATCCTAGCTGCTGGCCCTCCTCCCCTCTGCAGTCACAGTTACTTTTGCAAAGCACCAATCTGATCATTTTCTCTGACTTAAGAATTCCAGTGCCTTTCTGTCTCTTTGAGGGTATTTTGTGAAGCCTTAACCCATCCTCTGACCTTGGGCTCCACAGCACTCAGCCACATCCCTGCCTGCAGCGTTTCAGAGGGAGCTGGACATTGCTGTTGCTTGTGCAGTTAGCAAGGGTCTCCCTTGATCGGCTCTACGCTCCGTGAGGACAAGAACTCAGCACTACTTTGCTTCACAGTTGTGTCCCCAGCACTGAGGCCCCAGCACACAGCAGGTGCTCCTAAAACATCTGTTTAGGTGAGAAAATGCAACCCCAGCTCGTGATTCTTATTTTATCTGAGAACTATACATTTTTTTTTTAGGCTCTTGGGGGAAACGGCTCTTTGTAGGACTACTAAGTGTGTTCTGTTACTGGCTATCATGCTGTATATTATAATGCTTCTGGCACAGTAAAAGTATCACAGAGGACGACAGAAGCTCTCAGTCCTTCCTTCCTTCCAGGTACAAGATAAACTGTTGGAAAGCTCGAGGAGAGGCATGAGGACGCTCAGTGTCTACCTGACCACAGATGATGTGCTCAACAGGCTGACCTCCACAGACAGCTGCAGCGACCAGGAAGCGAGGGCAGGGGTGCCTCTGGGAAGCCTCCCGGGGAGCGGCTCTCGCCAGCAAACACACCTTCCATTTAGGAGAAGGGAAATGTGAAGCTTGTCGGCAGCACACCTGTTAACACATTGCATCAGGCTAATGTAGCCCTTTCTTCATGAAGCCTCCCGAATGCTCACAGTGTCCTATTAGGAGGGTGACAGCAAAACCAAGTAATAAGAACATGCAGATGGCTGTCTAGAGCTGCTTCTCTGCTTCTGTCATTGTGACAAAATTCCTGAGATAACCGACTTAGAAGGAGAAAAGGTTTATTTTAGCTCCTGGTTGTTTGGCCCTGCTGCTTTGGGCTGGTGGCAGCATAGTATGAAAGGGCAGGAGCACTCAGTGGAGGAAGCCTGCTCACCTCATGGTGGCCAGGAAGCCGAGAGAGAGGACGAGGAGGGGCCAGGGCCCCAACATTCCCGTCCAGGGCACGCTCCCCCCACCCCACAGTGGCCTCACCTCCTACCGCAAGCCCCACCTCTGCCACGTTCCATCACTTCCCAGTAGCACCCTGGACTGGGGAATGAGCCTCTTCACCATGTGGGCCTTTGAGGAACATTCCAGATACAAACTGTAGCAAGCAATGAGTACTCGTGAGGCCTGTTCCCTAGCAGACGAACACGTACGATGTGCATGTGCTCCCACCCCTCTGCTTAGGAGGGCAGAGCACCCAACTGCAGAATGCGGAAGAAGCAGAGTCAAAACACCAAATGGTCTTTCAGAGTTAAACAGACGCTTAAAATACCAAGTTTGTTTAGTCTTCTCAGTTAATCCATCATCCATCTAATTCGAATTCACTGTTTCTGTTAATAAACATCATGTCCAGTGGGGGCTGGGGCCAAGAGAAAAGGCCTTCAGGTACAGGAGGACAGACGTCTTCAGAGAATGTTCCAAGAGAAACCCCACACTCCAGGCTCTGCAGACCGAGGTATTTTGCAGTGAATATGCTACAAAAGAATTTGTTAAAGTAATCGCCTTTACTAGTCGGTGGTTTCCACAGCAGCTGCACAGCAACTCACGTGCATAATCGGGCTCTAATGAAGGGGACAGCCAACTGTGCCAGAGGATACTCTATCCCAATCTTCTCCGCATGTGGGTGAAGCCAGCTATTGTCTACAACCGTGTTCTGTGAACTCTCTAATATGCATGTCACATTATTCTGTCCTGTCCCCAGACTGGCCACTATTACCTCCGTTATATGCGTCTGGGGTGGGTGAGAGTTGAAGTAACTTGACCAGGCTCACACCATAAGTTCAAGTTTGGATTCCACATCTGTGCAACTCATCCACATTTAATTCCTCCAGTACTTCATGCTGATTAAAAAAAAAAAAAAAGCTCCTCTGCAAAGTTGTTTCTGATCATTTTAGTCTAAATTCCACATTTCTCAGGCTATAATGGAAGCAGATCTTATTTTACAAAGCAGGATCCAAGCCCTACAGGACTGGAGGTCTCCTTAGGCCTCTCATCATCCTGAGGAGTCGCCCAGGCAACAGCCTATGGAAGCTGAGTCCCCACACCTGGCTGTGTCTGTCCCTGAATAGAGGCTCCAGCCAACTGAGGCCCAGGAGCCAGAGCGCCTCGGGGCTCTGTGTCCTGCCTGGGGCCCACCTCAGCCCAGGAGAGGCCGTTTTT